TTCTACAAAAACATTATTGTCATTTATAAATTCTTCATATTTATAATAAGCTTTTTACAAAGAAAATATTTTATAACACATTTGAATTTTTTTCTGGCAAATTGAGTAAGAGAAACCACGGTCGCAGAAGGTAAAGACATATATTTTTCAAATGTGACAAATAATAGAAAAGGAACAAAGTATCAAATATTTAAAATGTATTTATAAAGAAATATAATTATTATATAAAAAGGTGCGTTATGCACACCCCTTCTTCCCTAACCGTATGGTCACCCTATCCATAATCAACATTGTCAGGCAGTAGCTGCCCTAACTACATCTGTCTTTTCGTCAATATGTCACAATATATAAGCTCACAGCACTGTGCTATCGATCAATGACGTTAAGCAATGTGACATGTTCCTGATGGGTGACCGCACATTGTGCTCCTATCAAATCAAATCAAAATATCTCTATTCATGTAAGTCTATTCAGACTCTTATGATATGTCAAATCTACCGTCAGTTGGGAAAGATTTCTTGGAGTTTTAGAATTTTTTTTTTAAGTCAGTTTATTTACAACTAGCTTTTGCCCTCGGCTTCGCTCGCGTTAACTTATCACCTTAGGGGTGGAATTTATCAAAATCCTTTCTTAGGGGATGCCTACGTCATAGTAGCTTTATGCATGCAAAGTCTCAGCCCGATCGATTTAAAATTGACAAAGTTTCATACAAACTTTCATCCCCTATTTTATCCCCTTGTGGGTAGAATTAATCAAAATTCTTTCTTAGCGGATGCCTACGTTATAACATCTACCTGCATGCCAAATTTCAGCCCGATCTGTCCAGTGGTTTGGGCTGTGCGTTGATAGATCACTATGTCAGTCACCTATAAGTTACATACATTTAGATGTTTATATAGGTGTCTGTCTAATATTATTTGTGATATTTTTATTACTTTTGAACGTCAAGTTTGCGACGCAGGTTTTTTTATGGGTGATGACGAAATGATGCACCCGCCTGCGCTAACAGTTTACTCTGGCGAGCCGCCAGTGGAGGATGATAAGATGAACACGAGGTCAAGTCAGTTAGTTCGTGTCAAATTCACCATGATTTCCAGGGGGAACCGCGTGGAGGTCAACCTGCATGGTACATTGCTAGCAACAAAATCATTAGCAACGGCGGATCCAGGGGGGGTCATGAGGGTCATGACCCCCCTTGAGCCCAGGACTTAAGTGGACCACTAATTGAACACAATGATTTTATTTATATATTTTGTCACCATACAGATTTTATTAATATTTTTAAGTCCAGTACTTACGTACAATAATAAAATACTTGTATCAAAATTAAATTATAACTTCCTGACTTGACCACGACCAGGTGACCCCCTCCTGGCGCCAAAGCTGGATGCGCCCTTGATCATCAGTCCACATTACTACCAATCTCTCCCGAAGTTGCACGGTATACCTAGTAACACTATGTATATATGTGTGACATACAAGCTCAGGATTATCGATCTCCCACCCACTTGACAAACAGCGGACATATGTTGCTAGCATTAATTTGCCATTTCATACATACTAGAGACATGCTCTGACTTCGTCCGGAACCCTATATAAATAGTATTAAAACCACAAGGTCTTAAGGTTACTATGAAACAAATATTGAAGAAGATTGAAGCTGTAAAATCCAGCTGCGGCCAACAGCATTAGAGTAGTCCGAAAAAAACAAACAATTTTGTATCTATGTTTGAAACTGTTGTAGTGATAAGAAAAAAGACTAGGTAAACGGAGAAAATTTATTACTATAACGAGGGTAGTTCCTCTACTTGGGATACCTCGTCATCAGAACCAATGTTGGGCATGGTGTAGGCAAGAAATAATAGTCTGGATTTAAAGTATAATTGTCTATTAACTCACTCCCGATAACAAAATAATAAATTTAACAACGATTAGCCAGATGCAAACGGATTAGTCAGGGAAACGCGGCAAGTTCGGTACAGAGTGAAGAACAACCTCTCGCGCTCGTCCCCAATTCAAAAGTGCCGTTTCGTAATTGCCGTTAAAACTGCTTTACCCTGTACCGACCTCACCCAAGCAAACCGCTTGACGTTTCCAACAACGATAATAGATGGCGCTATTCTAGTAGAAACTAATCAATTGAGCCTCTTTGCTGATTCTGCGACAACTATATATACTGACAATTAGGAATAGAAAGAAGGAATTGAAGTATCAAAAACAAGAATGTAATATAAAAGAACTATAAATTTAAACACAAATTTAGAATATAAAACATTTCTTCATTAGCCAGTTACAACAGAAACCAACCAATAAACCTTATATACACGAGGGTAGTGTTTTGAAATGAATTTAATTGAATATTTATTGCTTACTTTTTTTTTTTGACAATTCACACAGCGCCATCTAGTCCCAAGTTAAGTTAGTGTTACGGCCACTAGACAACTGATATAAATACATAGATATTTTTTTCGTAAATACATACATATTATACATAGAAAACATCTAGACAGATGCAATCAATCATACTCATAAATACAAATGTTTGTGCCGTGCGAGGAATCGAACCCGCGTTCATCGGACGTGAAGCGGTGTGCTAGACCGCTAGACCGTCTAGACCGCGTCGTCGAAGCATATCTTAAAAGTGTTCGCGGTAAGCGAAATGAATTCTTATATTAACATTACGTAGCGTACATTATGTAAATTTACACTCGAAGCGTGTTATTACGTTTTATTTATGTAGTTAATATATTCAGGGAATACATTGTAATTTGCGGTTATGGTTTTATTTTGTGGAAAAACATCCACGTTCGAGGTAGTTTTAAGGTGACACCCATACAGGAGAAGATTTTAGAGAGCCGCCTAAGGTGGTACGGTCATGTCATGCGACCATCAGACCACATAAGAAAGAAAGAAAGAAAAATATTTTATTCAGTGCAATGTAAAATTACAATATAAACAACAAAAGAAAAAAAAGAGCAAATAAAATGTATGTTGGAGCTTCAGCAGCTCCAATAATACAAATTTTGATATGATGAATAGTTTAATTGCTGATTCTTTACAAGATTATAAAATAAGGTGTAACTTTGCCGCCGTACTATGCACAAGTGGCGGTCGGCTCCGTTCGGGTATTGTCGGTGTCCTCCGGACGGACCCCGCTGGTCGCGCTGCTGGTTGATCAGAGTGCCGTGTAATGAACAATGTACATATAATTAATCTTAAACTTAAAACCGTGTAGATAAGTAAAAATAAACATAAAATAATAATTCTTTATTTCGCACAGACAAACAAAGAACAATAAAAAAATATGATAAAAAGACAATCTATTATTGACAGATATTATTTACATAGAGAAGGTAGAAGGCGCACAGTAGACAACATATTTATAATACACATATAGATATACATACATTTTATAAGTATAAATAAATAAACTTACACACTAATACATATTATACATATACATACATAAACTACATATGAGATGAGAACAAAAGGAAAATTTAGTTATAGTTTAGTTACAGAGAGAGAGATAATGAGATTTTAGTGAATTTTGAAATATAGTAAGTGATTGTGCTGATCGAATGGGAAATGGCAAGGAGTTCCAGAGCTAGTAAAATAATCATTTTTTACATCCAAAAGTGCACTGAAATGGCTCTACTCAGCTTTAATGTCAAGAAGACACACATGACAAGAACAGTGCTTGACATAAGTACCCAGCCCAGAAGACGCGGCAGACCCCGTCTCACATGAGAAGGATATAAAAAGCGCCAAAATAACCTCACAGACGACCCAGGACAGAACGTCCTGGCGAAGACTGACCAGACGGGCTGACCCCAAATAAATGGGAGCAAGGCCAGGCAAAAGAAAAAGGTATTATTTTGTGGAATTGACCTGGTGTTATCTTTAACGGAGAGTGAGTCGGAAATATATCATCATCTGCTTCTTCCTTATCACATTTATTTGTGGTCGGCGTAGTATGTTTTTCTGGGGGGATTGTTAGTAATGTGGACTCTTGACCACATTACTAACAATGTACCATGTCAGGTTGACCTTCACGCGGTTCCCCCTGGATACCATCGTGATAAATTCCTGGTGAATTTGTCACAATGTGCTAACTAACTTGACCTCATGCTCATCTTATCATCCTCCACTGGTGCCCCGCCAGCGTAAACCGTTAGCGCAGGCGGGTGCACCATTCCATTATCATCCATAAAAAAATAATATGTTTTTCTCTTCCATTCATCTCTATTCGCAGTCATCGCGTTATTTACTTCTTTTCTTTCCATATCATCTTTCACACAGTCCATCCATCTCTTTTTCGGCCTTCCTCTGCCCTTATAACCATCCACATTCATATGTAACACCTTTCTTAAAATATTCTCTTCATTCCTACGCATTACATGTCCATACCACGATAGACGATTACTCTTCAACCTCTCCGACACCGGCGCCACTTTCATACTTCCTATCTTTTCTTTCCTTTTACGTCCGATGATCGCGGGTTCGATTCCTCTAACGGCACAAACGTTTGTATTCATGAGTATGATTGTTTGTATCGGTCTGGGTATTTTCTAGGTACATTACGTATGTATTTACTCTGCTTACCGTGGGACTAGATGAAGCTGTGTTAATTGTCTAAGGTTCTTTATTTATATACTAGCTGACCCCGCGACCTCCGTTCCGCCTCAGTATCAGTATACATATCAGTTTTTTTAAGTTTAGTTACACAATAAGTTTATGAACGCACCCTGCTTGACAGGTACGTACAGTTTGTAATGTTTTTGTATAATACAATTTCCTCGCAATTTTTCTATATTTTGTCACCATTTACTTACTTACACCCTGGACTTTTTCGAATATTTCAAGACTAAAAATAGCCAAATCGGTTTAGCCGTTCTCGAGTTTTAGCGAGACTAACGAACAGCAATTCATTTTTATATATATAGAAAGATAGATTATGATGTAAGAAAATAAATAGTAATTGATATAATTGTCCACAGATCCAATAAGCTGAAAGCCTTCTGGTTCAGCATATCAGATGAACCTCTGCCAGCTCTCGACTTCCTCTCAGCGGCTCTACTCTCAGCGGAGTATGAGCGCGCACTGGGCCGGGCGCTGGCTATGCCTGAATGTAGACTAATACCCTTCTTTGGAGCCTTTTTAAGGGAACTCAGGTGAGTTATTGAATAGAACTAGTAGATTACCGCGACTGCGGGTGGGGGGCGGGATGAGGAGTGGGGGAGGAGGAAATTGTTAGCTTAGGTGAGTTACTGAATAGAACTAGTAGATTACCGCGACTGCGGGTGGGGAGAGGGGGGGAAGAGGGGAAGGGGGGGAGATTGTTAGTAGAATAGAATAGAAAATCATTTATTTAAATAAACATAATTTAAACACTTTTGAATAGTCCATTGAAATAAAACGGTTCTGGCTTGACCGTTTCCTTCTTGGACGCATGGCCGACCGAATAACTGACTAATATCCTTTGGAGCGTTCTTAAGGGAACTCAGCTGAGTTACTAAATAGAACTAGTACATTACCGCGACCGCGGGGAAAGGGGGAGGAGATTATTAGCAGAATAGAATAGAATAGAAAATCATTTATTCAAATAAACTTCATTTAAACACTTTTCAATAGTCCATTGAAATAAAACGGTTCTGGCTTGACCGTTTCCTTCTTGGATGCATGGCCGACCGAATAACTGTATAATATCCTTTGGTCGACTTCGATAAAGCCGGTAGTCATTTATGAGAGGTTACGCGATATTTTCCGTGTTTCTGATCTAATTTTAGTGGTTACTAAATACTTCTAATGGAAATCATACTATTTGGTTTGGATTGGTTGTATAAGAATTTTTTCAAAAACAATCCATTGTCTATGGGAACTCAAGTGACTTACTAAATAAACTAGTAGATTACCGCGACTGCGAGTGGGGGGATAGATGAGGAAGGGGGGGGTAGATTGTTAGCAGAATAGAATAGAATAGAAAACGAATTGTTCAAATAAACTACATTTAAACACTTTTGAATAGTCCGTTACAAAAATTACTATTCAAAAGTGTTTATATGACACATATTATAAAAAAACGATTCTGACTTGACCATTTCCTTCTTGGATGCATGGCCGACCGAATAACATACTAAAAATGCTCTTCTTTAAAACTCAAAATACAATAAAAACAGCAAGTCGTACCGCGGCGTAAATCCCCAATTCGCGTATGAAATCACGACTTCTCTAGTATAAAATGAAAACAAACATAAATTGTAAAATAACAAACCCGAAAATAAAGATATATATATCGAGTCGTTTATACCACTCTATATAAATCTTTACTGTTGCGTATAATGTATATATACATGTAAACCATCCTCTTGGATCACTCTATCTATTGCTTTAAAATCCGTTGCGTAATTTAAAAGATCTAAACGAACAGATAGCGAAAGCGACTTCGTTTTATACTATGTAAAGTCGGTAAATAAAAACAAACATAAATTGTAAAATAACAAACCCAAAAATAAAGATATATATATAGAGTGGTTTATACCTGATACATATATAGAGTCATTTTTACCACTCTATATAAATCTTCACTGTTGCGGATAATGTAATTATTACAAAGTCCAATACGGAGAATACATTGAAAAATGGCGAGCGGAAATTGATAATGTCACGTACAAAATGGGATGCAACGTGAGTCGAAGATTACAAGAATATAATATTATATCTGCACTGAGCTGTTAATACCTTCCGATACCGAGGTGAACTTTGTATAAAGTCGTTTGCGTGGATAGGATGGCATGGCTATTTCGATCGAATTACTTTGTTAGCTGTATTTCAGTCACAGGATAAGTTATGATTTTTTTTATACTGCGATGGTGGCAAATGACCATACGGCCTATCTGATGGTAAACGGTTACCGTAGCCTATGGACGCCTGAAACACCAGGAGTCTCACGTGCGCGTTGCAGACCCTTAAGAAACCTTAATATACCCTTCTTGAAAAACCCCATGCTGTAGTCTCATGAGGAAACCTCGGCAGGTAGTTCTTTCCACAAACTAAGTGTACGCGGGAGGAAGCTCCTCTGAAACCGCACTGTCCGAGACCACTTAGGTTCCAGTGTGTGGGGATGAATTCCCTGTCGATGGCGAGCGGTGTGAAGATATCTTAGTCTTTAGGAATAGCAATGCATGTGTGGTATTACGGCCGTCATGTGATAACGTGATATCCGTGATACTGTTCATGTATATATGTGACGGTTACCACATACCGTCAGGTTAGCCGTCAGTTATTTGATATTCTCATTCATTCATTCATAATTTAAGAGCCACGCTCTTGTTGGTGGAGCTCTTGCCACTTTCCACGACCTTCCATCATGCTCTTTACAAGTTGATAGGACATGACTCCAATTTTTTCTTTCATTATTATAAAAAATTATATCACATCTTACTAATATTAACGTGTATGTATATGTATATATGTATATATTAATTTATTCAATACATATCTTACATATTCATATATGTATATAGTAATTTTGTTTACTGTATATTTATCTAAATATATATAACTCAAACGTGACTGACATAGTGATCTATCAACGCACAGCCCAAACCACTGGACGACTGGACAGAAATTTGGTATGCAGGTAGATGTTATGACGTAGGCATCCGCTAAGAAAGGATTTTGATTAATTCTACCCCCAAGGGGATAAAATAGGGGATGAAAGTTTGCATGAAACTTTGTCAATTTTAAACCGATCGGGCTGAGACTTTGCATGTATAAAGCTACTATGACGTAGGTATCCCCTCAGAAAAGATTTTGATAAATTCCACCCCTAAGGGGATAAATTAACGCGAGCGAAGCCGCGGATAAAAGCTAGTATATTATATATATATATCAAAGGGTGGATCCAGCTTTGGCACCTGGTCGTGGTCATGTCATGAACTTATAATTTAATTTTGATAGCAATACATACAAGTAAAAAGTAGGTATTTTATTAATGTACATAAGTGCTGTACTTAAAAATATTTATTCTTTATTGTACACTTGAAAAACTTTACACTTAATAACTTGTACATATCGCTATCTTCTCTTGAAGACATCAAGAGAAGCACTATTTAAATATGATTAATTAAATATTGAAGGTATGTAGTTACATAAAATCTGTATGGTGACAAAATCTATATTAATAATTTCGTCTAGGGGTACGGTAGACTCGAACGAATACATAATGTGAATAACAAAAATAAAAAAATATTGATTTCGAGTCGACAACATATATCCGCAAAATTCGGATTATGGTAAATTTCGTTAAATTCTAATGACACTGACAAATAAACTGCAGTCGCCATCTTTTCAATTTACTAGCTAACAACCAATCAATATATCGCGTGCGTTTGCGCCAAAATAGTATCCATCACAAAGATCTGTGACTCGTGTGTAAAACTAAACGTCTTGCTAAAAACAATGAGTTCATCATCATCAGCCCACTGCAGTCCACTGCTGGACATAAGCCTCTCCCAAGGCACGCCACTGGGCACGATCTTCAGCCCTTCTCATCCAGTTACTACCCGCAACCCTACGTAAGTCGTCGCTCCACCTAGCTGCGGGGCGTCCTACACTACGTTTGCCAATTCGCGGTCTCCACTCTAGAACACGCCTACTCCAGCGAGCGAGTGAGTGAACCATAACAAAATTAAATACTTTTCTTCAGTCGTTGACGTTTCGAGAAAATATTGTTTTTGACACTTTTTTATGATAAAAGAGTATATAGTTATGTGTTTTTTCTTTAAATTGTCCGATTGCGAGACATGTTTGTCAATTGTTTTTATTAATATATTACCCATATTTCACCCGGGTTTTCATCTAGTATATAAATAAAATCACTGTGTTCAATTAGTGGTCCACCTAAGTCCTGGGCTCAGGGGGGGTCATGACCCCCATATCCCCCCCTGGATTCGCCGTTGTATATATCTTGTACAGTTATTTATATGTATTAGTAAATTTAAAACAGTTCTCGCTAATACCCCACAACGCTTTCTGTTTTTAATCTAAGGTTAGATGAGAGGGAATGTCATACAGCATTAAGCTCGCCTTACAACAGGCGGACAAAAAGTTGTTTACTCAATAAAGATTAAATAAATAAATAATAATCTCAGGACAATTCACACAGCGCCATCTAGACCCAAGTTAAGCTAGCTAAAGCTTGTGTTATGGGTCCTAGACTGATACAAATACATAGATAATTTATATATATAGAAAAAAAAAATTATCGGTCTGGGTATTTTCTATGTATAATATGTATATATTATACATAGAAAATACCCAGACCGATACAAACAATCATATTTATGAATACAAATGTTTGTGCCGTGCGAGGAATCGAACCCGCGACCATCGGTCGTAAAGCGTTGTGCTAGACCGCTAGACCACCGAGGTCGTCAAAATAAATATTATAAACGCGAAAGTTTGTGAGTATGGATGGATGTTTGTTACTCTTTCACGCAAAAACTACTGAACGGATTTTGATGAAAGTTTACAGTAATATAGTTTATATATCAGAATAACACATAGACTATAATTTAAAAGGTTATTAATTAAATTTAGCGAAATGTAATGATAAATGTCATGTAAGTGTGATGCATACGAAGTCGCGAAGGACAGCTCGAATAATTCACTCTTCAACTGAAACTGACTGAAACTGAAACTGACGTGGTCGTGTGGAATGAGTAGTCATGCTCACTAAAATGTCCAGACATGTGGCGGCGTGGTGGGCCGGGTCATTGGGCTCCCTAAAATATGGTCGAGCGCAGTGATGGTTGGCTCATCCGTCATACACGTGAACGAGTGCTGCTTGTAGGGACTGGTCTGCTCTTATCACTACGACTGATTTAATCTAGACGACTTTTTACAAAGTCTAAGTCTAAGTTGAAATTGTTCTATTATTTTTTATTATTTAAATGTTTCTATTATACCCACACAGATGACTTTTTACAAAGCCTGCCTCGGACACTTTGGTGAAATTAAGTTTAAAAAACTTTTCTGTTATATCTAATTAACAACTCTATATATATATTAATCATTTCTCTCTCCACTCGACCACTCCCGACTTGTTATTTTTTAATTACAGCCACCCCTTTTGTTTGTAGTTCGCATGTAAATTAACACGTCCATTTGGGGCCGATGAGACCCGAGCGGGCCCCCCGGGTCCCATACGTCCGCGTCTACACAACAAACTAATCAAATTGCGCGACTTTGAACCTTATTTCATACTTAGATATGACTGCTTCTTAATTTATAAGTTTTAATGGGGTTATAACGGGCTCATATAAGTTTTCTATTAAAGCTGTTGTCTTAATAGAAAACATTGATTTCGTGTTTAATATTCATAACAATATTAAACTTATATTATAGAGAGGAAATATATTTTATTTTATACTAGTATGGTGACAAACAGGCATACGGCCCAGCTGTGTTTCAGTCACAGGATAAGTTATGATTTTTTTTATACTGCGATGGTGGCAAACGAGCATACGGCCTATCTGATGGTAAATGGTTACCGTAGCCTATGGACGCCTGAAACACCAGGGGTGTTACGTGCACGTTGCCGACTCTTAAGAAACCTTAATATTCCCTTCCTGAAAAACCCCATGCTCTAGTCTCGTGAGAAAACCTCGGCAGGAAGTTCATTCCACAACCTAAGTGTACGCGGGAGGCAGCTCTTCTGAAACCGCACTGTTCGAGACCACTTAGGTTCCAGCGTGTGGGAATAAATTTCCTATCGATGACGAGCAGTTTGATGGTAGAAGGTGGCCGTAGGCATCATGTCGAACAATTCCTCAGAACACAGTCCGTTGTATAATCGGTAGAACACACAAAGCGAAGCGAAGTCACGCCTCAAACTAAGTGGTTCGATACCGCCAGAGAGATTAAGATCATCGACAATTCTCATAGCACGTCTCTGGATCTGTCAAAAGGACCGAGCTGGTATCCAGGTGCTCCTGCCTAAAGATGAGAGCAATACTCCATGTACGGCCAAACTTGAAAGTTATATAAGAGAAGTCTCTGGTCCGCAGAGAAGTACCGCTTCGCTTTATTAAGCAAACCGAGTTTTTTGGACGCCAGCTTGATCTTTTCTTCGAGGTGACTACGGAACTCAACTGTGCTAGAGATGTCGATACCGAGAATCCCAATACTCTTAAAGATGGTAATGGACGTGTTCTGGAATTTCGGAGCCACAGCAAAAGGGGTTACTTAGCGGTGAACGCGCAGGTTTGTGTTTTGGTAGGGTTGAATTGAACTAAGCTCAGTCGCCCCTAATCGGAAACTCTGGTAAGAGTACTCTCGATTTCTGAAACAAGCTGTTCTCCATTTTTCTCCACAACGGAAAGAGGGATATTATGACGTCCCCAGTACTGTCATCCGCATAACAATGAATGTTAACTGTAGTTAATAAATCATTAATATGCAGCAGAAACAGTGTCGGGGAGAGAACAGAGCCTTGCGGGACGCCAGCGTTAATGTCCATGCTATCGGAGCAACTACCGTCGACCACAATTTAGATGCATCTGCCAGACAAAAAACTAGCGACCCATTTGCATAATCCCTCTGGTATTCCGTACGAGGGCAATTTCGATCGAAGACCTTTGATGTCAAACCCGATCGAATGCCTTCGCCATGTCAAGGCTGACTGCCAATGCCTCACCTTTACTCTCGATGGCAAGAGCCCAACGGTGTGTGAGATACACTAAAAGATCACTAGTTGAGCGATTATGGTGAAAGCCATATTGAAGATCGCTCAATAGATCATGATCCTCCAGGTATCCAAGGAGCTGTGTATTAATTACACGCTCCATCACCTCAGGCTAACATATGAAATAATATAAAATTGACTGACGGCGGCAATCTGCCACGGTAGCCCCGATACAGTCAGGTTACTCTTGGTACGGATATAATCGACAATGTTCTGTTCCTTAGTGGCGTAATGTAGACGATGATTATGAATCTCAACTCACTAAACGATTACTTGAATGACGAGCGTGCATGGCAATAATTGTTCATGCACAGGATTTTCATTTAATGTTAGACATAGACACCTATATAAATATACATTGTAAAAAAAGTAGTTTAGTTAAGTTTCTTGCCAGTTCTTCTCAATTGGATCCATATACTAAATTGGACGGTAGGAAAAAAATTAAAATTATATTGTAAAAAATTTGACGTTCCTAAGCTGCTAAAATGACCTACATGGATAAATGATTTTTTATTTATTTCAATAATGCCTTTTTTTTAAAGACCTCCTTCGGAGAGGACCTTCCATGAATTCCCTTTTTTAGTAACACTATCATTTTGTTTAAAGGGAGATCCTGGCTGCATCACCAGCTCTGACCAGCCATTCTGTAGCAGGCACCCCCACCAGGAGAGATTTTAAACGGGAATCCACAAAAGAGGATAGGTATGTACCTAATATATATTCTTATTATAAATACGAAAGTATGTGTAAAAGGCTGAACGAATTAATGAAATTAATATGTTACCGACTTACTTTCGATGGTCGCAGGTTCGACTCCTCGCACGGCACAATTATTTGTATTTATGAGTATGATTGTTTGTATCGGTCAAGGGTGAACGAATTAATGAAATTAATATGTTACCGACTTACTTTTGATGGTCGCAGGTTCGACTCCTCGCACAGCACAAACTTTTGTATTCATGAGTATGATTGTTTGTATCGGTATGAGTGTTTTCTATGTATAATATGTATGTATTTACGGAAAAGAAAATATATCTATGTATTTGTATCAGTTATCTAGTGCCCATAACACAAACTGTAGTGAGCTTAACTTGGACAATAATCTCAGGACAATTTACACAGCGCCATCTAAACCCAAGTTAAGCTAGCTAAAGCTTATGTTATGGGTACTACACAACTGATACAAGTACACAGATATATATCTGTTTTTTTCGTAAACACATACAAACACCAATACCGATACAAATAACCGTACTAATGAATACAAATGTTTGTGCCGTGCGACGAATCGAACCTGCGACGGTCGGTAAAGCGGTGTATTAAACCGCTAGACCACCGAGGTAATTTAATAAGTTAGTTACGTCTTTCCTTTACTGTATATTGCAAATAACGTATATTCTATATCTCTATCTGTTCTATTATTTTCAGAGGGTCTCTAAAGAAGGATGCGAGGAGAGAGAGCGGGAAGAGAGTGGACCAGGGCACCACAACGAGTCCACTGCGGGACGCGTGCAAGCGAGAAGCAAGAGTCAACGAGCCTAGTAGACAAGTGGTGAGAACAATGAGAATATTTATTATATTGAGAATATTAACAATAATTATCAATATTCTCAATCATCATTGCTTTGTCTTTATTCCGTTATTTGGAGTCGGCACATGTCCTTTTCTTTCACTGATCCCTACCTGTCGTTATATCTGAGCTTACTCTCCGTTTATAGATATCATCTCTCACACAATCCATCCATTTTTCTTTTGGTCGTCTTCTCCCTTTCCATCTATCCACGTTCATGTTAAGAGATGAGGTTCGCTCTTGGTGTTACTTCGCAACTTGTCTACATCAGGAGATTATTGAGAAAGTTGGTAATGTTGAGAATGTTGGTAATGTTGACAATATTGAGAATGTTGAGAGTATGATAATGTTGAGGATATTGAGAATGTTGAAAGTATGATAATGTTGAGGATATCGAGAAAGTTGAGAGTAGGATAATGTTGAGGATATCGAGAATGTTGAGAGTATGATAATGTTGAGGATATTGAGAATGTTGAGAGTACGATAATGTTGAGGATATCGAGAATGTTCTCAACATATATTGAAAATAATGAGAATATTGTGAAAGTTTGGAATATTTAATGGATAATTCCAATATATAGAAACATGGCAGTGAAATGACAAGGTTTAGAGGAACAATACTTAAGTACATGGCAATGCATAGGATTCTACGTCCGATGATAATGTGATGTTGTGGTGCTGTTCATGTATAAAGGTGACATTTACCACTTACCATCTAGTGTTTGTTTGCCATTCCAAGTACCTAAAAAGTCGTAGTTTTTTTTACCAATTAAAATCTTGTAATTATAGCTCAGATTTTATATGGTATGGTTAACCTTCCTGCGCTGAGGGCTTACGCTGGCGGGGCACCAGTGAGGAATGATGTGAGGCCGTCGTAGTAAATTCACCAGGAATTTCACCACGTTGGTTTCCAGGGGGAACTGCGTAAGGTCAATCTGATATGGTACATTATTAACAATAGGATACTAACAATTACCTTCCTCTCTAAACCTAATAATGATCAATTTGATCGCAGTACATAGCATCGTTTGACGAGGAAGGCGAGTCGGCTCCTGGCTGGAGGCGGGTGGGACCTGAAGGTCTGCTGAACTTGGAGAAGGTGTACCGGACCCAGGCGGTGATGGACCATATAGCCAGCTTTCATCAGCACCACTACGCGCTTGCCAGAAACAATGCACCAGTTTTTGGTGATTATTTAAGGTGATACGATTAGATAATAGTAATTATTTTCCCGGGAAATTCACACAGCGCCATCTAGTCGCAAACAGTGTTTCTTTGCAATAATATAATATGTAGAATGTATATTATGGATGTATATATGACACTAAGCAAAGCTTGTACTTATAGATACTAAATAACAGATACTTGACACTTAAATACCTTTTTTGTATATACCTACATAATCTACGTAGAAAAAATCCAGACCAATATAGAAGTGTAATAAATACAAATTATTCTACCATCCGAGGAATCTAATCCGTAACCAGGAAGTAAGGAGGTACTAAACCATTAGACCACCGAGGTTGTCTGACTGTATTCTTCTAAAGTTGAAAGTTGTCCCTTCATAAGATGTTTTAGGAAGGTTGAGATAAAGCACAAGATGTAGAGGCATGACATCTTAAATCTCCGTTATGACAACGTATGAATAGCATCATTGGTATGTTAGCTTCAATACATGAAGAACACTCAGTTGACTAATAATAATAATAAAAGTGCAACTGAAACTATTCAACATATAACCGGGACTTGCAAAAATATTGCTCAAACTGATTATAAACACAGGCATGACCAAATAGCTTCCATAATGATATGATACATGACTTAATCTAATTGAATGGCAACACATGAGTCACCTGATATTGCCCCTCGCTCTCTTTATCTACATTTACAGGTACAATTCTTAAAAGAGCCTAAGTAAGTAAGTAAGTCTTTTATTTCCATTACAGACAGATATGTAGATAACAATGAAGCCACTTACTTACTTACTTACAAGTAAATATAGTTAATAACCACCAATATTCTTCACAGAGCAGCAATGTCGGCATGCGAGGAGCCTGTGTTCACGCAATCCTCGCAGAAGACATCCGGCTGTGACTTTGAAAATGAGGCCTTATATGAACTAGAGGGGGGTGGATATTGCCCTGTACAACCCTTACCACATGACCACGGCGTCACCATGTTCCCGTTGGCACCGCAAAATGGCGACAGAATTGATAGGCATGTGTTACAAGTAAGTATCGAGCACAATAATTTCAAAGGTAATGTTGAAGTCAATGTCAGAGTTAAAGTCAAAGTCAGACTCAAATTCGGAGTCAAAGTCAAAGTCAGTGTTAATTTCGGAGTCAAAGTCAAAGTCAGAGTCAAATTAGGAGTCAAAGTCAAAGTCGGAGTGAAAGTCAAAGTCAGATTCAAATTCGGAGTCAAAGTCAAAGTCAGAGTCAGAGTTAAATTCAGAGTCAAAGTCAGAGTCAAATTCAAAGTCAAAGTCAAATTTAAGGTAAAGATCAAATTCAATCACAATAGAATATCATGTCATAGTTATTTTATTTTAATCTACCGCTCATTCAACGACAAGACACTTGTGTGTTGCTCTTTTAAATAATGATTGTAAGTTTGGTAACTTTACATTTTTAAGTTGTAACGTGTGAATACCAACTACCAAAAGGCACCAATTTATTAGGGTCAAAAGTAAAGATTTTTTATATATCACACTCTTAAAACTACAAGAGATTTTTTTATATTAAAAAGTCAAAGTAAAGGTCAAGATAACGTTCAAAGTGAATAAAATAGAATACAAAATTATTTATTCAAATAAACTGTATTTAAGCACTTTTGAATAGTCATAGTTATTTAATTTGAATCTACCGCACATTCGGAGAGCTGTCTCATCACAAGAAGAACGAGCAAGAAACTTGCGTGTTGCTCTGTTCCCCTCCCTTATCTACAGTACTGAACTGACCATACAGCGGCCATGACGCGCGCGCGCATTGTGTTGTGAATTAAAATAAATTAGAACTGTGTTAAACCTACTGTGAAACTGGAAAGCTAGCGAAGATACCTTCGAGACCCTGAAGCCCAAGAAATCCGCAGAACCATACAGGTACGTGACAGACGTTTCCACACATATTTTTCCCTATATATATACATAGTACTTTCCCTAACATTTGGGTAGCAGAGAGTAAATTCCCTAACAGATATTATAAAACAAAGTCCCTCACTGCTGTCTGTATGTTCATGATAAACTTAAAAAACTACTGGAGGGATATTCATGCAGTTTTGGTCCGTCAATACAGTGATTTCTGAGATAGCTTTAAGTGTATAGTCAATCATTAATAAACGATATGCGATAAATTCTGAACTGATTTTTATTATTCTTTCTTTAACCTAGAACATTTATTCTGAGACGGAAGTCTGTTTTTTTTAATTACCCGTGCACAGTTGATCTGAATCAAATTGTGAACCGGTTTTTATTGTGCTTTCTTTAATCTACAAGAGTAATCTTAACATGTATCTATAATTATATATGTTATCTCTTCATCTTAATACTTTGACTTTACAGATAATGCATCACGGCACCGCTTGTATAGTAGGAGAATCAGAATGGGGAGGCACTCTTGCGCAGCTTCGATTAGAACGCGCATGCGCTTTACTTACATGGTGTAGAACTGCGCATAGACCCCATACTCAACATGGTGAGTACAGCTTTCTTTGTATTAGACCCTTCCATTAGTACCTCTGCAGATAACATAGATTTAAGTGTAAAGTCAGTCATATAAGGCTATAATGGTGAGAAGTAGTGGTCTTGGAGTGTAGGATGTCTTACTTCCGATGGCCGTGGGTTCGATTCCTCGCAAGATGCAAACATTTGTATTAATGAGTGTGATTGTTTGTATCAGTCTGTTTTCTGTATATATTTACTTACAAAAAAATATTACTATTGTCAAGACAATTCTCACAACGAATAGGCAAATTTGTGTGTCGTTCGCACAATTGTGCGACAACACACGACACAATCTTGTTCCAAGTTAAGCAGAACTTATGTTATGGGTACTAGACAACTGATACAAATACGTAAATATATATTTTATGTAAATATATCATCATCATCATCATCATCACAGCCCGGAAGACGACCACTGCTAGACATAGCCTCCCCTAAAGACCTCCACGACGATCGGTCCTGCGCTGCTCGCATCCAATGCCTTCCAGCGATCTTGACCAGATCGTCGGTCCACCTTGCTGGAGGCCTTCCCACGCTGCGTCTTCCGGTCCGTGATTGCCACTCGAGGACTTTATTGCCCCAACGGCCATCTGTACTACGAGCTATGTGCCCTGCCCATTGTCAGTTCAGTGTCGCAATTCTTTGGGCTCGTGTAAATACATACATAATATAAATAGCAAACACCAATAAAAATAATCATACTCATGAATATAAATCGAACCCGCGACCATAAGAAGTAAGAGGATGTGCTAAACCACTAGACCATCGATGCTGTCACTGTACCTATACCTCTGAAGTAAGTTATATAGGTTTTTTTTATTTTACAGGTGAAACTCCCTCGGAGAACATGCAACAACCTGAAGTGAGCCTCTCCTACAACCCTGAGGAAGTAATACCCCTGAAATACACAGCTAACCTGCACGAAAATGAAGCTGGAATTGTAGGAGAAGAAGGGTAAATATAATATCCGCCTTATATTTTCTTCACGAAATCTAATTTAGAAATCTATTACTAATTATATGAATATGAAACTGGATCTGTTTGTTTGTTACCTTTTTAAGGCGGGAATAGGGTTGATTCGTGTGAAAAAAAGCACATTTTTGTGATTTATTTTTATGAAACAAAAGTACTCTATTTATTAAAATGAATGGTATATTATAGTATGGCATTTGAAGAATATTGTGTAATTTTTGAAAAAACACAGCAATTATTCTGGAACTTCTGAAGAAGAAGTAGAATTGCGGTGACACTCAGACCTCGGTGCTGGATCATCTGAAATAAAAAAGTCAAAATTATATTCTTAGATAATCGCTTTACCTAGGTATTTTTTATTGGGTTGTTTGTAGCACCTGTAGCAATGCGACCTACATAGATCTATTGTGCTCGCCCTTTTTCAAAGTGCCTAGGCCCGTCAGGGACAAGAATTGAAGGATATGCTTAGGAGCGATGGTTTTTATCTCCTCGGGAAATAGTGTAAACTTCCCAAAGGAGATATTTCGTTTATGCATGAGTGGGCTACAACCACATAGGATGTGTAGCGGCGTTTCCTCTTCAGTTTGGCAGAATCTGGAGATTTTTGTCGTGCATAGGCCTAGTTTAGCCATATGTTTGTTTAATTTGCAGTGACCTGTGAGGGCCCTAGTCATCATGCATATATTGTTTTTACTCAATAGCAGTAGTCTATTGGAGTATTCGTTCGAGTAGCCCGATATTAGGGCTTTTGAATGTGGCATCAAATGGCCTGGCATTTCTTGCCAGTGATTCAGTGCTTCTCCAATTACCCAGGTCACACTGGGGGGTTTTTCGAAATTTCAATTTTACACTTTTTGGGAACACTTTAATTTAAATGAAAAAGATTTTTGCAAAAAAAGAAATAATAATAGCAATTCTTTATTGCGCATAAATAAACAAATAACAAGCTAATTACGTTCTGATGGTCGGTGATGGGTTTTTTAAAACAAAGAAAGTTCATTTAATTAATTATTTAATTCTATACAATTTAGCGATTGATTCGTCTTATAATACAATTAACCTATTCGCGTTCGCAACTAAAACTAGAGTGACCGTCCACCTGCCTTCCTTTGTTCTCGTACTTCTTGGATGCCGCTCATTTGAGTCAGCAACTGTCGGAAATTATAAAAGTATTGGGACAAACTTTCCTAGAACAATCGCTATATCCATGCTGATTGAGTAACTACAGGTAGATAGTTATATGGATTTACTATGCTTGTTTGTACTCGTAACAAGCTACATGATTAAAGATAATAATAATAATAATAATAATAATAATAATAATTTATTTGCTTAAAAAACACAGTATAAAAGATGGTAATTAAAACTTAGTATCATGTGTTTTGCCATAGTAATGGCATGCAAAATAGTATTGTTTAAAATTATGCATAATTAACTATACAGAAAGAAATAATAATAATAATTATAATAATAGTTAAATAGGTTCTCTCTAGTCGGTATTTATACATTGTCAAAAAAATTGTTTAAACTGTAAAATTCCTTATTTTTTAACCATTCTCGTAATGTCTTCTTAAATAATATTTTCTTATTCGTCTTTAATGTCTCAGGAATGCAATTATAAATTCTTATACACATATTTTCACAGTTTTTTGTGTACTGTGTCATTGTATGGGTTTTAGCAAGTACCAATCTATTAGGATTTCTGGTATTTCTTGGATAAATGTCCTTTGCTTTCGTAAATGAATTTAAATTTTGTTTTACAAAAACAGCTACCTCATATATATAAAGCGATGGAAGTGTCAGTAGTCCAAGTTCTCTGAAACGTGTTCGACATGACTCGTACGGTGCAAGACCACACAATGCTCTAATACACTTTTTTTGAGCAATGAATGCCCTATTAATATTTGTACCATTTCCCCATATTAATAGTCCATAACGCAGTACAGATTCCACGTATGCATGATATGCAGTAAGTGCAGTCTTTCTGTTCGTTATGTTTTTAACACGCTTCATTGCATATATAAACTTATTAATTTTGTTACTAATATTTTCGATTTGTTTTGTCCAATTAAGTTGTTGATCTATCATTATACCCAAAAATTTTGTTTCATTAACTGATTCAATTTGTATATTTCTGTAGTTAACATTAAGATGACAGATTTCATTTTTCAATTTATTAAAATTAATATAATTAGTTTTATTTACATTTATTGTCAAATTATTCATGTTAAGCCATTTAATTATTAGGGTTATAGTTTCATTTATATCAATTTCGTGGTCTTTCAATGTTTTATATTTTTTATCAGTAGTTACTATAATAGAAATGTCATCTGCAAAGACAATGCATTTATTTGTAGTTATTTCAATTAAATCATTAATATACAGTAAGAATAGTATGGGCCCCAATATACTTCCTTGTGGAACTCCATATTTATTTGATCTGTATCCAGAAGAATAAGGTTTTTTGTCTTTAGTATTTACTGTATTATTTGTTTTGTTTCTTAATGTTACGTTAGACTGGTCGATTGAGAATGTATTTTTACTAATTTTCTGTTTTTGTGTACATAATAGACACTTCCAATTTTTTCGCTTCTCATATTCCATTATAAAGAATCGCTTTTCTGAGACACCTGCGCAGTTATATTCGTATCTATTTTTACAAGAAGAACATACTATAGTCTCTTTTATATCAATTTGCGATTTACATTTGTAGCATGTTGCTACTGACATCTTGCGGCCGCTTTTGGAAACTTTATCGGATTTCGTATCCATTGTCTCAACACCAATGTGTACTGTGCACGTATGAATTTAAATATTTTTGTCTTTTTATTCACACCCTTTAGTTTACACTGTTTCTAAATATTATTCAATAACAAAAAGATTTTGATCTTGCAATCAATTTTCGACCAGTATACTAAAAATTGTAAGTATAGCCACTAGGCCAATTTCGTATTCATACAAAGCTTTGAAATTAGCGATGTATAGTTTCACTGGATTCTTAAAGTTCGTTATGCGTTTTGAATTATTTTGTTTACACCCTCACCAAACAAAAAAGATGCACATACCAAATTTTATTGTTATTGAACCAATTTATTGATTGTCCTTTACTTGTAATTAACACGAATACAAGTTTTTTGTACACTGACAATTATTTATATTGAAATTCTGTCTCGTAATTGTTATATATCCCATATCATAGTCAATTCACTTTATCACTTTTTATTATTATTTGACACTTTTTCTTCTGTATAACATATATATCCTAATAGTCACAATGATATTTATATATTGAATTAATTATCGACAGGATTTACACACTTTTTAAATTTTTTAAAACCAATAGTTCGGAGAGCTAATGTTTACGTGCCGGTGGCGTCCTCACACTCCTATTATATTATTAAATGATATTAATAAATATATTTTGATAAGTATTTTTTTTTATTGGATTGTTTGGGCTATTGTCAGATGTGTAGCACCTGTAGCACTGCGACCTACATAGATCTATTGTGCTCGCCCTTTTCAGAGTTCGCTACTTAGACCCGTCAGGGACAAGAATTGAAGGATATTCTTAGGAGCGATCGTTTTTATCTCCTCGGGAAAGAGTGTAAACTTTCCAAAGGAGATATTTCGTTTATGCATGAGTGCTACCACATAGGATGTGAAGCGCGCTTCAATTTGGCAGAATCTGCATATACTTGTCGTGCATAGGCCTAATAATAATTTAATAAGTAAATACAGTAATTTATTTATCGTTATGTCTTATGGTACGTTTACATTCAGCCGCTTCCCCTGCCATGAGCGAAAGGGCTGAATATAAACATACGCTGCCACTCGCGCTGCCAGTCCTTTAACTCGCGCGCGAAACCGACAATCGAGGGAGTGCCGGGCAGCGCAAGTGGCAGCGCCAATAGCATGGGAAGTATCGTGTTTACACTCTCGCGCTGCTCACTTCCCTGCCCACTCGGGCGGAGTGTAAACGTAGCATTAAAATTACAGCTTCATAGACCTGCAGTGTGTGAAAGATATGCGTCTCGGAGGGAAGTTGTTAGAACCGAGAGATATCTCGGATCTGATGGGCTGCGCTAAGCGACACGGCCTCGAGAGTTGTTCACATGGACCACATATCATTACGCTGGTGTACGGAAGGAGTTTGAGCGACAATAGGACTGTACATTTAGTTCTGCCTTCTTACTCATATAGGTAAGTATTAGATAAATGTTTAATCACATATCTAAATATATATATAACTCAAAGATGACTGACGTAGTGATATATCAACGCACAGCCCAAACCACTAGACGGATCGGACTGAAATTTGGCATGGAGGTAGATGTTATGACGTAGGCATCCGCTAAGAAAGAATTTTGATTAATTCTACCCCCATTGGGATAAAATACAGGATGAAAGTTTGTATGAAACTTTGTCAATTTTAAATCGATCGGGCTGAGACTTTGCATGCATACAGCTACTATGACGTAGGCATCCTCTAAGAAAAGATTTTGATAAATTCCACCCCTAAGGGGATAAAATAGGGGATGATAGTTTGTATGAAACTTTGTCAATTTTAAACCGATTGGGCTGAGATTTTGCGTGCATAAAGCTACTATGACGTAGGCATCCCCTAAGAAAGGATTTTGATAAATTACATCCCTAAGGGGATAAATTAACGCGAGCGAAGCCGCGGACAAAAGCTAGTTAAACTTATACAGGGTTACTGGTTATGTTGAACTATTCCCCTTAATTTGTATATCTGAAATATCTGAACTACGTAACTTGTTAGTTCAGATATCCATAGAGCAACACACAAGTTTCTTGCTCATTCTTCTTGTGATGAATCTGCATTCCGAATGAGTGGTAGAATCAAAATATGACTATTCAAAAGTGCTTGTAATGAGTTTATTTGAATAAAGATTATTTCTATTTCTATTTCTAACATTATAAATTAAAATCTATTTATAATGTTAGAAATAGAAATAGATTTGTCTATCTATAATAGTAATACAATGCCACAAACATTTGCAACACTTCAGCTCTGTTCCAGGGTATGGGTGGTGGGTCTCCACTCCGTGATACGAGCCCTGATGAGTCAGGCAAAGCTAGCAGACAGGAGTTTAGCGTGGCTGAAGAATAAGTACACAGCACTATACTACGAGGACGGATGCTGCTGTGAACCGCTCGTGTCTGATGCCATCAGGGTGGGTATTCTCATGTGGAAATCAATTACTTGTTACCTATATTTATTTATTTCAGGGTCGATATTCTCATGTCAATCAATAACTTGTTACCTATATTTATTTAATATTTTATTGCACTTATAAAACAAATTCAATTGTATGATTGAAATTCTAATTAAAAAATATTCTTTATTTAAGTAACGCAGTCTGTAAGTTCTATATAGTTGCTAAAATATTATTTTAGGCATATAGATGCCTATGCCAAAAGGCTCTTACGTGTTTATTGTTTCTGTAAAATTCTAATTCAATAATATTTATTTGGTAACACAGTTATTACTACGTTCTATATAATTATTTTTTATTCTACTCCCAGGAGGATTTTTAGACCTCCACCCATCCATATAAGAAATTTTGAACTATGTGTAACCTTTTATCATTACATAGTAAAACAAAGTCTCTGTCGCTATCTGTCCGTCGCTATGTATGCTTAAATCTTTAAAACTACGCAACGGATTTTGAAGCGGATTTTTTAATACATAGAGTGATTCTAGAGGAAGATTTATATATATAATACACACCGCTGTCTGTTCGCTTAGATCTTTTGAACCACACAACGGATTTTAATGTAATTTTTAGCAATAGATAGAGTGATATGTGTAGTGAATGTTATAATGGCGCAAGTTTGTGTTTGTAAATGTATTTATTTATTTATTTATTTCGGATTACAAATTTAATTCGGATTACATCCATATTGTGTTAGTAAAAACTTATAAAACTATTATTGATGGATGTTTGTTACTCTTTCACGCAAAAACTACTAAACAGATTTTAAAGAAACGTTACAGTAATATAGCTTTACATCAGAGTAATATGTGGATGAAACCGCGGATGCAACTAGCTTATAATATGTATTACTATATGTCTCGTCAAATGATGTGTTGCCATATTGGCATGGCAATGGCAGGCACAGAATACCAGCGTGACAGTTAACTGTCACGGCATATGCTGAGCGTCAGCCATGTTGCCAACCATATGTAGAAATAATATATGATGAATTATTGTAATTGTTCTAAGTGTGTATGTATGTATATGAGTGTGTTGTGCATATGTGTATGTATATATATATGAGTAAATGTACATTTGTCAAATGTGTAAATGTAATAATGGTTGTCAATAAATGTTTTTTTTCTTTCTTTCTTTCATATTAATTACCTTATTAAGAAATATGGATACAAGGATGAAAATTAAGGGATGTATCTATTATTTATGCCAAATAAAAAACAAAACATGTCGTAAAATACAAAACAAAACCTCATTACCCACCCCACCCTTATGACTAAATATATATATAGCAGTATGAAAATTAGTTTAGGTACGTCCTATTCTCAGATCTACTAAATATATTCACTAAATTTCATAAGAATCTGTCAAAACGTATCGAAGGAGCGTTGTTACAAACACTAATGAGAATTTTGTTTAAAAACTTATTTTTAATTTCAAGGTATTTGGAGGCAGAGAGAGCACATGTGGCAGCTCATCCCACTCAACTCCCGTTAAAGGCGCTTACACTGACTCACATTCCGACTCAATTAAAAGTGGAGGCATTAAGTTTAAGGTAATTATAATAATATGACCCGTAACTTGAACTTATAATACAGTAGAATTGAAGCAAAAAATATATAATGTTAGATGTGAATATTACATTTATTTCTGTTTCATTAATATTGTTTTGTTTTTTTACTATTTCAAAATAAACAAACGAACGTTTCGTTAGTTCATTTTGAAATATTTATTGTTATTTATTTATTTGTTTTTACACTTTTTTGCACCAGTTACAGATAATATTAATTTATATAAAAATATGTATAACAATGATGAGTACAAAGGGCGGCCTTATCACTAAGCAATCTCTTACAGGCAACCTTTAGGTAGACGGTGAAGATATAAGAAAAAGAGTAGATGGTACAAATGACAACACAACTAATATAGGTATAAATAATACATGCAGATATACATAAATATATATAGACACTAGGTGTGCCGGCAAACGTTGATTTGCCTTAAAATAAAAAATAAAATTTAGGGGTGAACTACCCCTAACATTTAGGGGGATGAAAAATAGATGTTGGCCGATCCTCAGATCTACTCGATACGCTCACAAAATTTCATGAGAGTCGGTCAAGCCGTTTCGGAGGAGTATGAGAACGAAAACTGTGACACGAGAATTTTATATATAAGATACATATGTACATACCTACATAAACATACATAAACTTAATAATAATAATCCATGGAAAGTTTGAAGGAAAGAAAGGGCGTAGAAGAAAAGTTAAAATAGAACTAAAGGTAAAGGAAATAAGTTTTTAGTGATGCTTTAAAGCTAACTAAGCGAAATAGTAAAGAAACAAAATTAATACAAATCAATATAAATTATAAATAATGATTGATCAATAACTTTATTCCAATTAGTAGTATTTTGGTTGGAGCTTATATATGTTTAGTGGTAAAGTAAACAAGCAGAAAGCCCGTAGTAATTTTCGTGATTCTGAAAAACTCATCCAAAAAAATGAAGTGGAAAATTTAAAATAATTTGTAAACACTTCATATAAATTGTATATAGATTTAGTAAGAAAAGTTCAGAAATGATTTTCAAATTTCCGTTTTGTTTCTGGGTTTCTGGGTTCAGTTTTATGAGTATTCTGATTCAGTTCAGTTTGGTTCAGTTCCTTTTACGGATAACTGTGTATATATGAAGCCATTATAACATGACCTTGACCTATTTCACATGAGTGGAGATTGGTACGTAATTAGCCTAATTACGTACTATTTTAGGACTGTATACCTACATACATAAAGTATATTGTGCTCTGGCGATATATATTTTTGTTTTGACATGTTATTTGGGATGAAATAACGAAATATTTTGGACCTTAATAATGTCTACAATTGAGTTTAATTTAGAATGCTAATTTATATATGTGTCAGATTTTATCCATACATATATGTAATTTGGGTTCTCAACTGCGTCAATTTATATTTTTATTTGACAGTTCATATTTGGATGAAGTAGAAATATTTTGGACCTTAATGATGTCTACGATTGAGTTTAATTTAGAATGCTAATTTATATAGCATTTGTGTGAAATTTTATACATACATACATGATGTATATTGTTCTCTCAACTGCGTCAATTTATATTTTTTGTTGACAGTTCATATTTGGAGAAAGTAACCTAAATATTTTGTACCTTAATAATGCCTACAATTGAGTTTAATTTTGAATGCCAGTATCTGCAATCTATGCGAGAGATCAAATAATTTCAAAAATGTGAATTTAGTGGTTCCATATTTTGATCACATTTCATGTGATTGGATGATGTTTGAACTCCTTATTTTGTTCTAGAAGAACAAATCCACATCAGAATTGAAGACAAGCTCACCTAAAAGCTACTGTTCCACTCATACATCGGGCACGAGAAGTGAAGATGAAGTGGTGCTGACTCACTCACCGAGACATAGGTGAGTTGCAACACACTCACTAATTGGTTGACTCATCAATGCATTATACTTTTTATGCAAATGGTATGATAAATAACGGCCTTCTGATTGTAAGTGGTAACCGTCATGAACAGCACGACGGTTATTACGTCATCAAGTGACTATTGTGATAGTATCAGTCATCAGTCATCAGTGCTTTACCATTCCAGTGCAGTGCTTTAGTTTACCCATCAACCGAAACAAATATTACAACAACACAAAGTACACAATAAAAAAATTACCTCTTCGTATAAACACGTCAACCTTACTGTATATAGTAAGGTTGACATAAAAAAAATAGTCTAAGAAAATTTTGTCAGTCAGTCTGTTTGTTCTTGCTAATTTCTGGCTGGACTGGACTGGACTTTCAATCGCAGATGGATAATATTATAAAGAATAACTCATGCTACTTTTACTTTAGAAATTTTATTTATTTTCATAGAAAGATAAGTTAAATTCCACACGGCGAAATCTCGAGAATTTAGATTCATAGGAGAACTGAAAACTATGTAAATCGGAGATCTATGTCTTAGGAATCATGAATCAGTAGATTTTAATAAATTAACTTCTATATATTCATATATTTGTGTATGTTTGACTTATTATTATATATATAATTTTAACGTCTACTTTTCCTTTTTTTTCTTTTCTCGTACACGTATGTATGGCTAATCTAGTGACCACATTATCCTATAATATTTTTAGGTTTGCTGGAAAAAATCTCTTCTTAGAGATAAGCTCGCTCTTTTACATTACTTATAACTGATATATTTCCCTATGTGTGTGTACAATAAATAATAGAGTAACTTATGCTACTTTTATTTATTTTCATAAACAGAAAAGTTAAATTCCACACGGCGATATCTCGAGAAGTTAAATTTATATGAGATTGAACTGAAAACTATCTAGATCGGAGATCTGTCGTAGCAAATTATAATGTATGAAAATTATTTTTAAAAAGTAATATTAATTAATTGTGCTTACTCACATCGGAAACTCATCACTCGGCAGTTCGTACTCAGCCACGATGAGTCAGCACCATCCGTGTGCTCCACGACACAGCAGCCTGACCGCGGCCGCCACCAGCATCATGGCCGGCTCACCAAACAGGAGTAGGTGAGAAAGAGTCTTAAATAAAACATTTAAACCTGTGCTTAACCAAGATTTGCAGATTTTGCCAAACTGAAGAGGAAACACCACTACACATCCTATATTATTGTAACCCACTCATACATAAACGAAATATCTCCTTTGGAAAGTTTACGCTCTATCCTGAGGAGATTAAAACCATCGCTCTTAAGAATATCCTTCAATTCTTGTCCCTAAAATATGGTTGAGCGCAGTGATTGCTGGCTCATCCGTCATACTCGTGGTGCTGCTTGTAGGGACTGATCTGGTCTAATCACTATGACTGATTTCCTCTTATTAATTGTTTAACCAGTTGGTTGTATATTCAATATTTTTTTTATTGATTATTTAATTGAATTAGTGCTAATTGATAGTTTGTATTCACATTTAAACTTAAAAATGGAAAGTAACAATAAAATTATTTAAAAGAGCAGCACGCAAGTTTCTAGCTCATTCTTCTTGTGATAAGAAAACTTTCCGAATAAGCGGTAGATTAAAAAAAATGTGATGACTGTTCAAATGTGCTTTATTTGAATGAATGATTTTCTATTGAATTCTATTTCTGATGAAATTGGTATTAAACTCTAAAAAAAGGGCGAGCACAATACATTGTACGCATTTTTTTTTCTAAGTAAATTGTGTCCTTTTATTTATAATATTATTGTACAATAAAGTATTACAAACAAACAAACTTTATATAATAAATTATTGTGCTGAATTTATATAATAAACAATACTAAATATCCAGAGAACGAATATCGGAAGTAAGACGGTGAGATAAACCGATAGATCACCAAGGCCGGCGTCGTGTTAAATGTTGGTTAAGCAATTTCGCTTTGGAAATGCATATAAGAATGTAAATTGTATTTGCAGCTTGAAACGACTGGAGACCAGCGAACGGTTTTGGGAGAACCTGAAACATTTAAGGACTGGATCAGTCGGTTACGATACACAATTAGATTTTATGGACTTTGTTGCCTTATTCAGAAGTTTTAGGTAAGAAAAACACATTAGTACCAATAAAAATACAATAAGATTTTACTTTATGTATAAATTTAAGTATTCATTATTTAGGGAAACTACTCTCTGCTACCAAAATGTTAGGGAAAATACTATGTATATATATAGGGAAAAATATTTGGAAACATCTGTCTAATACCTGTATGGTTCTGCGGATTTCTTGGGCTTCAGGGTCTCGAAGATATCTTCGGTAGCTTTCCAGTTTCACAGTAGATTTCATAGTAGGTTTAACACAGTTCTAATTTATTTTAATTCACAACACAATGTGCGCGCGCGTCAAGGCCGCTGTACGCTCAGTTCAGTACTAGGTAAGGGAGGGGAACAGAAACCGCGGGAACACAAACTAACGGACTCTAATATAATAATCTGTGCTTACGATGGTACAGGGTAGATTTTGAACACACTTATTTCCTAAAGATAAGTTTAAGATTTATAAATTATCAATAACTCTATAATTGTCTTTGCTCTATAGTCAGGTGTACGCCATTTTGCAATGATAATTACTACAAAATGGCGCTAAATCACTGTGTAGTACGCGGGATTGCGCTCACTGATGTCTACATTTACATGAACACTTATTAATGAGGTGAAGTTATCTTACTATCACCGATACTACAGTAAAAGTACCAGGAGAACATGACTCGTAAGTAGGCTACAGCCTACCGCAGTCTATTGAAGTAATGTTTTCTTTATTCAAATATACCGAGCGAAATGTGGACATGTCAAGTGTTGCGTTCACAACATCGACAGTTGACAATGACTCTGACTACCCCATCAAAGATAACAGCCGTGAAGTTATCTTGCTATCATTACATAGTATAAAACAAAGTCGAGGTCGCTGTCTGTCCGTTCCTATGTATGTTTAAATCTTTAAAACTACGCAACCTATTTTGAAGCGTTTTTTTTAATAGATAGAGTGATTCTAGAGGAAGGTTTATATGTACACTATTTATATGTATAATACATGTACACCCAGGCGAAGCCGGGGCGAGTAGCTAGGATGTAATATTATGTTATCTGTGCTATTACTAATACTACAGTGATAGTACCAGGAGAACATGACTCGCTAGTAGGCTAGAGCTTATTAGCTAAGACAAAAGCAACCTAAATTCGACTCTATCTAGTCTATATTAAAATAAATAATCGTTTGCAGTTTAGTGATGCGTTCGGAGTTACGAGACGTGTTTGAACAACTCGCCGTGCCTAGAAACAGATCGCCCCTACTCGGAGCTGAGAAGAGTAGGAGCTCCCCAGAACTGTTTAGAGGAAGAGCTGCTTTTAGAACTGGTGAGTTATTGGTGCTTCTTTTCAACCGACTTCATAAGAGTTGTTAATCTGACTACATATTATGATTTTTATGGCCTCACAACTTGTTCTACTGACACCGATTTTGATATATATTTTTTATTTGAACCCTAAAGCTGATATAATTCCGTTTGGTCACATATGTACTGCCGTGTTGATCTAATGTTTTACATCCGATGGTCGCATGTTCAATTCCGGTACAAGCATTAGTATTCATGAATATGATTATTTGTATTGGTCTGGATTTTATCTGTTTGGTAGTTTTTATTCACACAAAAGCATTATCATCTGCTTCTTCCTTATCTCATTTATTTGTGGTCAACGTAATATATTTTTCTCTTCCATTCATCCCTGTTCGCAGTCATCTCGTTATTCACTCCCTTTCTTATCATATCATCATTCACATAGTCCATCCATCTCTTTTTCGGCCTTCCTCCATCCATTTAAGGAAGGTGTTACCTTCCTTAAAATATTATCTATAATCACGAAAAAGTATAATTTAAAAAGCAAAACACCCTGAAATGACGGTTGATTTGTTGACATATAAAAATCTGTAATAGACCTACATGAATAAAGATATTTGAAATGCTGGTCTCCATAAATTCTAGTAACCGCTCGCTATCCGGCGGGACGTATGCTTGAAATCTTAAGTTTTAATACAACACCTCTTTTCAGGCCTACTTACTAGAAATGGATCCTTAGATATAGAAGCTCCAAGCGATAAAGCTGGGCGGAAGAAAGCTTTCGATCTTTTAGCTGCCGCCGCTCTACCTGGTAAGTCTTCATCATCATAAACTCTTTAGACGCGGTTCATTTATCTCGTGATGTTTTTTTTTAACATTTTTAATCATCTGTCTGTCGCAAACTGGACTCTAAATGAGCGATCTGAAGGACAAAAATTGCGTAAATCTAATCTTGGGGTGGCGTAAGTCGTCATAATGCCCACAGCTACCTATTACCATCACACCGCTCGCCATCGACAGGGAATTCATAACTTCACACTGGAACCTATTATAATTAGTCTCGGACAGTGTGGTTTCAGAGGAGCTTCCTCCCGCGTTCACTTAGATTGTGTAATGAACTACCTGCCGAGGTTTTCTCACGAGACTACAGCATGGGGTTTTTCAAGAAGGGTATATTAGTATTTCATAAGAGTCTTGGACGTAAAAGTCCTGGTATTCGAAGCATTCATAATATAATATAGTCATTGGTAATCAACGTCTATGTGACAGACTCGACCCATTGGCTTTGCGGCGTGATATTGCATCTCTGTGCATTTTCTACCGCCTATATCACGGGGACACTCCCCGTGATATAGGCGGTAGGAATTGTTCGGATTAATACCAGCTGCTGAGCTTCACCACCGTACCACCCGCCAGAAACTGAAATACCATCCTGATCATCTGGATGAATGGCGGTCTTCCACAGTGCGGTTTTCTAGAAACTTTTTGCCTCGCACAACCACATTATGGAATCACCTTCCAGCAATGGTATTTCCGAACCGATACGATATTGAAACCTTCAAGAAAAGAGCTTATTCCTTTTTAAAAGGCCGACAACGTACTTGCAATTCCCCTGGTGTTGCGGGTGCTCATGGGCGGCGGTAATCACTTACCATCAGGTGAGCCGCATGATCGTTTGTCCCCTGTTATAAAAAAAAAAATACGGTCACAATCTCGTCTATACAGAATAGCAGAGAGGATGGACTCACTGCCACCACTGCATTCTAGACCGTTCTGTCTCCTTCATTATTTTTAAATTTTATTATTGTATGGGCAGCAATTGTGTTAGCGTTTATTAGAGACATATAAAGATGATTATTATTATTATTATATACCATCAGATAGGCCGTATGCTTGTTTGCCATTCCCATTAAAAAAATGGAGTAATTAATGTCACCAGCTGATTGGTAGCTGAAATAGGTCAACATACATGTCATACGTTGCCATCCTGGAGGAGTTTTTTTTATTGGAGAGTTTTGGCTATATTCAGGTGCTTGGACCTGTAGCACTGCGACCTACATAGATCTATTGTGCTCGCCTTTTTCAGAGTTCGCTACCTAGACCCGTCAGGGACGAGAATTGAAGGATATTCTTAGGAGCGATGGTTTTTATCTCCGCAGGATAGAGTGTAAACTTTCTAAAGGAGATCTTACGTTTCTGCTAGAGGACTAAGATATTATATCTCTCATTCTATAAAAAAATAATAGAAATAAGGCGGGGCATTAGTGTATTTACTGCTTTAACTAGATTTATATTTGCAGGCGCCTGTCCGGACGTGAGTGGACGGGTCTTATCGATGCCTACGTTAGGCAAATTCTGTGAAACTAGACAAAATGAGCCAAAGACTGATGATCAACTCAGGGACATCATTCAGGTGAACATTTATAATATAGAATTCAAACTTGTGGCCGCGTGGTGGGCCGGGTCAATGAACTCTAATATGGTTGAGTGCAATGATGGCTGGCTCATCCGACATACTCGTGAACGGGTGCTGCTTGTGGGGACTGGTCTGTTCTTGTTACGAACACTGATTAGACTTTTTGCTTTTGCAATCGTGAGAAATTCACCAGGAATTTATCACGATGGTTTCCAGGGGTAACCGCGTGGAGAGTAACCTGATATAGTACATTGTTAGCAATGGAGTTATTACTCCACATTACTAACAATCCCCATTGATTAAAAACAATGTATGACTATTCAAAAGGGCTTAAATTTAAGTTTAATTGGATATAAATTAATTCCTATTCTATTCTATTAAGGTTGAATTTGACCTTGATCTTCGACTCTGACTCTGACTTTGACCCTGACTCTAACTTTGACTCTGATTCTCACTTTGACTCAATATGACTTTGACTCTGAATGACTCTGACTCTGATTTTGACTCTGATTCTCAATATGACTTTGACTCTGACTGACTTTGACTCTGACCTTGACCCTGACTCTGTCTTTGACTCTGAATATGACTGTGACTCTGACTGAATCTGGCTCTGAATTTGACCCTGACTCTAACTTTGACTCTAATTCTCACTTTGACTCAATATGACTGTGACTCTGACTGACTCTGACTTTGACCCTGACTCAGACTCTCACTTTGACTAGAATTTGAGTTTGACTCTGACAGACTGACTTTGCATCTGAATCTGACTCTGACTTTGTAAAACTGTGTAGACTAATTATTACTCTATCTTCCAGAGACACGAACCAGATTCGACTCTGAGATCCGAGCACTGCCTGTCCTTTGAGGGTTTCGTTAGGTTCCTCACCGACAAAGACAACTACGCCTTCGTGCCTGAGCAGAGACGAGCAAACAATTTTATTAGGTAATATTTTATCTACGGTTTTCTTTTAAAAAAATATGTAAATATCGAGTCGCTTTTCCCCGATAACGTAGTTGTCCTGATTTGAAAATTATTTATATATTATGTTTTTTATTGGGATTAATAAGATAACATCTTATTTCTCCTCATGTGCTGCCTACTTCATTTTTATAATACTCTCTTTCCTAAGGTTGTTTGGAAGAGATTGCGTTAGGGATAAGACTGTCTTATCACTACGATTGATTTTAATATTATTGTGTATTTATATTTGACCCTAATACCCAATTTACACTCAGCCCGAGTGGGAAGGGAAGTGCAGGGAAGGGCACTTCCGTGCGTGCAGCGCGAGAGTGTAAACACGAGTGGAAACACTTCCCATGCCATTGGCGCTGCCACTCGCGCTGCCCAGCGCTCCCTCGATTGTCGGTTTTTCGTGCGCGAGTCAAAGGACTGGCAGCGCGAGTGGCAGCGTGTTTTTACATTCAGCCCTCTCGCTCAGTTGTCGCCCGGCTATATTTCCGGCAGCGTGAGTGGCAGCGGAAGCGGCTGAATGTAAACGTAGCGTAATAAATTAGTGCTGGTTGGTAGTATATATTCACATGTTTCAACATGTAAAATGTGAACTTACAAGGATTATTTTAAAGAGCAACAGACAAGTTTCTTGCTCGTTCTTGTGATGAGACAACTTTCCGAATGAGCGGTAGATTAAAAAAAATGACTATTCAAAAGTGCTTAAATTAAATTTAGTTGAATAAATGATTTTCCATTTATATTTATAATATTATTAAGGACTAGCTTTTGCCTGCGGCTTCGCTCGCGTTTATTTATCCCCTTAGGGGTGGAATTTATCAAAATCCTTTCTTAAGGGATGCCTACATCAGAGTAGCTTTATGCATGCAGAGTCTCAGCCCGATCGGTTTAAAATTGACAAAGTTTCATACAAACTTTCATCCCTATTTTATCCCCTTGGGGGTAGAATTAATCAAAATCCTTTCTTAGCGGATGCCTACGTCATAACATCTACCTGCATGCCAAATTTCAGCCCGATCCGTCCAGTGGTTTGGGCTGTGCGTTGATAGATCACTACGTCAGTCACCTATGAGTTATATATATATAGATTTGTTATGTCTTATCATTTCAAATTAATATTTTTTTAAGTAAAACTAGGATTGCACCTTAATCCATCGACTTACAACTCACTTTCCCCCAGCAAGCCCCCCAAAACCGAAGAGGAGGAGTTGATCAAGGATATCACGAAGGATATGGGTGGTCCCTTGAGCCAGTACTACATAGCCAGCAGCCATAACACTTACCTCACCGGCCACCAGCTCAAGGGGGAGTCTTCTGTAGAACTCTATAGCCAGGTAAGTGATTAAATTCATTTAATGACCTCGGTGGTGTAGTGGTAGCCCACAGCCTTCCTACCGATGGTCGCGGGTACATAGCCAGCAGTCATAACACTTACCTCACCGCCCACAAGCTTCTGTAGAACTCTATAGCCAGGTAAGTGGACTCAATTTATTTAACTTGACGACCTCGGTGGTTCAGTGGATTAACACTATTTTACTTCCGATATTCGCAGGTTGGATTCCTAGCGCGCAACAAATATTTGTATTCATAATTGTTTGTATCGGCCTGGGTATGTTATATGTATAATTATGAACTGAACGTCCTATACTAGGAATTTAAAAAAATATAAAAACAAAATTTTGTAAATCTATATGTACATAGTTGTATTTTAAATTCATCACAACACTTATTGATATTTGACGCCCTCGATGGTTTAGTGGATTAACACTACTTTATTTCCGATGATCACGGGTTCGATTCCTCGCACGGTGCAAATATTTGTATTCATGAGTAATTGTCTGTATCAGTGTGGGTGTTTTTTTTATTCTGGTTGAAGCTTATTGAAGTTTATTCTGGTTGGCGAGACCCTTAGCCCCGGCTAAGTGATAAAATTATTGACTCCGATTGTGATGAGTCTGCGTACCGAATGAGCGGTAAAAAAAATATGCTTCTATGACAATTCAGAAGTGCTTATATTATATTTATTTGATGAAAGATAATTTCTACATTATAGAAATACCTATATCCAACATAATAACGGCGTCCTCGGTGGTATAGTGGATTGACACTACTTTACTTCCCATGGTCGCGGGTTCGATTTGCACAACAAACATTTGTACTCATAATTGTTTGTATCAATCTGGGTATTTTCTATATATAATATGTATTTACAAAAAAATATATCTATGTATATGTATCAGTTATCTAGTACCCATAACACAAGCTTCAGCTAGTCTAACTTGGGTCTAGATGGCGCTGTGTGAATTGTCCTGAGATTATTATTATTCTTATAAGGTAGCAGGTTCCAAGCCGTACAATATTAAAACACAATATTAATTATGTACATCAAGATATTAATTTATTTTCTAATTTCAACTTAACGAACTCTATACTTAGTAACTAAAATCAATTGAACCTGAAATTATACATTATTGTACAAAGGTAATGTATGTAGTGTAATATAGGTAGAAATAAAGAAAATTTTGAATATATATTTTTAAAAAACACACACACACAGACACACGTACTCACATACGCACGCACGCACGCACGCAAGCACACACGTACCCACGCAGACAAACAATGTTTAATTGTATTTATAACTAGGTGCACCCGCGACTTCGTCCGCGTGGAATTTAACTTTATTTCTCTAAAATAAAAGTATCCTAAGTTACTCCTTATTATATCAGCTACCTGCCAAGAGAAGTCCCGTCAAAATCGGTCCAGCCGTTTCAGAGATTAGCCGGAACAAACAGACCGACAGACAAAAATTGTAAAAAATGTTATTTTGGTGTATGTACCGTATTTATATTCATATGCATGTAGTAAAAAAGTTATTTTAAACAAACAGACACTCCAATTTTATTTATATGTTACGCGAAAGTTTAAATATAAGTAGATTAGATATTATAAAAAAGTACAGATCTCTACATTAATAGTAATAAGGCGCAGTCGGGGCGCGTGGCTAGTGTATATACAAAAACGTGTCACGTTGTTTATCCGCGATGGACTCCTAAACTTCTGAACCGATTGCAAATTTGATTTGCACATTGTGTGCAATCTGATCCAACTTGAAAGATAGGATAGCTTACATCTCAATTTATAGTCGCAATATTATTTTATTCAAAAACCTCAGCCACAGCATCGCGTGGCCGAGTCTGCTAGTATCAAATAAAGGTAATCAACGTGCTTAAAAATACGTATATTTTACTTTAAAAAATTAGAGATCTCTACATTGACAGCAATCGCGCGCAGCCGCGGCGCGTGGCTAGTATATTTAGTGTGTGTTCCGTCTGTACCAAAACCTTGCTCGGTAATCGTCGCTGCAGGTCAGGAACGCCGGCGCGGTGTCAGAGTGTACTATATACCTGAAAAAACAACGTAATTATATTACTAGCTGTCCCGGCAAACGTAGAACGCAAGAGTTCGTTGGCCACAAGTTTGTCAGCAGCTTTTGCCGTGCGTAAGATTAGACAGTACACTGATACTGATACTGCTAGATTAGTCTATTTCAGTTATTTTCATAGTTTACTCTCTTATGGAATATTACTATGGGGAAAAGCGGCAGATATTAAAAATATATTCATATTACAAAAACGTGCCGTTCGAGCGATCTACTGTATGAAGAGTCGTGACTCATTAAGAGAGAAATTCAAAGAGGCAAATATTCTCACCGTTGCTTCTCAATTTATATATTCAAATATACTATATGTTCATAAAAATCTTGACTTATTTCCAAAAAACAGCAATATTCATAATATTAATACTAGATTTAAAGACAAACTTGCTGTCCCCAAGTATCGTTTAGAAAAAGTTAATAGGTCTTTTATGGGAATAGGTATAAAAATTTACAATAAGATACCAAAGGATATGTTGGAATTACCCTTAAATAAATTCAAAACATCTGTTAAATCATATTTACTGAGCAAGGCCTATTACTCACTAAACGATTACTTGAATGACGAGTGTGCATGGCAATATGACACCTATATAAAAATACATTGTAAATAAACTGGCTTTAAAAAAAAAAGTAATTCAATTGAGTTTCTTGCCAGTTCTTCTCAATTGGATCTATATACCGAACTGGACGGTAGGGAAAAAATAAAATTAGAATGTAAAAATTTGACCTTCATAAGCGGCTAAAATGTCCTACATGTATAAATGATTTTTGAATTTTGAATTTGTATTTGTCACACAAGGCTGGAACTTCGACTAGCACGGCTTATGCCACGCTGAGCAATTACGATATTAAATACAATAATTATAATAGGTGCACATCGATCGCGCTTACACTGAGACGATGCACCAGTTACAGAAATATTAATTAATATAAAAATATGTATAACAATGATGAGTACAAGTTCAAAATAACTGAAAATTATGTCACCTAACTTAAATTTTTTTCACCCTATCTTAGGAGAATACATCAAAAATAATTTAAACTGATTTCCCCAAATTTACGCGGGTCGGGGAGGGGGGGGGGGGCTCAAAATAACTGAAATTTATGATTCCTTTCACTCCCCTATCTTAGGAGAATATCAAAAATAATTTAAATGATGTCCCCCAATTTACGGACGCGGGTGGAGGGGGGTGGGGGGGACGGGGGGGATCAAAGTAACTGAAATGTATGTCACCTAACTTAAATTATTTTTAATCTTAGGAGAATACATCAAAAATAATAAGTTAGGTGACATACATTTCATACGAATATGGGAATGTATGAATGAAACATAAATTTTATTTATGGGGGGGGGGGGGGGAAGGGATTTATGTCACCTAACTTATGAAAAATTAATAAAATTAATGAAAGGGGAGGGTATGTTACAAATAAATGAATCTGATATCCCCCAATCTGGACTCCTGGACTCGCATACCTGACGGCGCCGTTGTGTCCGAGCGACATCAGCTGGCACCTGCTGGCGCTCCGCGAGTGCCACGTGCACAGCGAGGTGGTTGCCTCGTCCGGGAACATAACGTAGTCCTCCGTGTGGTTGAACACGGCCTGCGCCAGGTGCTCCTGTTTACCTGACAGACAGACATAGACACCAAATTAAAAAATTATATATTTATAACTGACAATAATGACTCCTGATTACCTGACAAACATAATAAATAGATGAAAAATTTTAGTGTTTAGAATAGAATAGAATAGAAAATCATTTATTCAAAAAGCTTTTTGTATTGATTGCCGCATGCATTCTTATGTAAAATGAATACTATAACTATCAGATGGCAATTGTAAGTAGCTATGACGTGGTCTAGTGTTTTGAGTAGTCATGCTCACTAAAATGTCCAGACTTGTGGCTGCGTGGTGGGCCGGGTCATTGGGCTCCCTAAAATATGGTCGAGCGCAGTGATGGCTGGCTCATCCGTCATACTCGTGAACAGGTGCTGCTTGTAGGGACTGGTCTGCTCTAATCACTACGACTGATTTCCTCTTATTAATTGTTTAACCAGTTGGTTATATATTCAATATTTTTTCTATTTAAGTATTTAATTGAATTAGTGCTAATTGGTGGTTTGTATTCACACACTTAAACTTAAAAATGTAAAGTAATAATAAAATTATTTAAAAGAGCAACACGCAAGTTTCTTGCTCGTTCTTCTTGTGATGAGACAGCTTTCCGAATTAGCGGTAGATTAATAAATGTAATAACTATTCAAAAGTGCTTCAATGTAAGTTTATTTGAATAAATGATTTTCTATTCTATTCTATTCTGTACTATTTATTTTAATTAATATTATTTCTATTTCTATAATATTTATACCTGTGGTACCAGCTCCCGTGTACTGTATGAGACACCTACTGCTTGCCAGCTCCCACAACTTTATTGACGAGTCCAGACCAGACGTGAGCAGGTACTGCAACCATTTACTTGTATTTAATATAAATATAATAATAATAATCTATACATATAAATAAAATTAGAGTGTCTGTTTCTAATATTGAAATAACCGTTTTTTACTACATGCATATGAGTATAAATATGGTACATACACCAAAATAACATTTTTTACAATTTTTGTCTGTCTGTCTATCTGTTTGGTCCGGCTAATCTCTGAAACGGCTAGACCGATTTTGACGGGACTTTTATTGGCAGGTAGCTGATGTAATAAGGAGTAACTTAGGCTACTTTTATTTTAGAGAATTAAAGTTAAATTCCACGCGGACATTTCAGAGATTAGCAGGAACGTTTGTTCCTGCTAATCTCTGAAATGGCTGGACCGATTTTGATGAGACTTTTTTTGGCAGGTAGCTGATGGAATAGAGAGTAACATAGACTACTTTTATTTTAGAAAAATACAGTTGAATTCCTCACGGACGAAGTCACAGGTCCAGGTAGTGAAAAATAAGATGAGATTATTTCTATTACCTTGCTATTCCTAGTGAACGCTACAGAGCAGACCTCAGCACCGTCGTGTGCATTTATGAAGGTATTGAAGCACCGGTTCGAAACCGTGTCCCATAGCTTCACGGAGCCATCAGCGCTGCCGCTGGCGAAGTACTTGCCATTCGGAGAAAACCTGGAAACGAAAGAAATGAGGAAATATTTACATATCACAGCTTCGGTAGTTTAGCGGTACCGCCTCACTTCGGTTCAATTCCTCGCACGGTACAAACATGAGTATGATTGTTTGTATCGGTCTGGGTGGTTTCTATGTATAATATGTACGTATTTGTATCAGTTATCTAGTACCCATAACACAAGCTTTAGCTAGCTTAACTTGGGTCTAGATGGCGCTGTGTGATTTGTCCTGAGATTATTATTATTATTATATAGATCCAATTGAGAAGAACTGGCAAAACTCAATTGAATTACTTTTTTTAAAAGCCAGTTTATTTACAATGTATATTTATATAGGTGTCTATGTCTAACATTAAATGAAAATCCCGTACATGAACAACTATTGCCATGCACACTCGTCAATTCGTCATTCAAGTAATCGTTTAGTGAGTAATAGGTTTTGCTCAGTAAATATGATTTAACAGTTTTTGAATTTATTTAAGAGTAATTCTAGTATATCCTTTGGTATCTTATTGTAAATTTTTATACCTATTGAATTTTTCAAAACGATTCTTGGAGACAGCAAGTTTGTCATTAAGTCTAGTATTAATAATATGAATATTGCTGTGATAATACTCACTTGATGGAATGGACCTGCTTCTTATGATGATGAGAGGATATAGGACACACAAAGCACTGGCTGGTTGTGACGTCATACAGCCGGATAACCGGATGTGTGGTGGATGCTATGATATGGTCACCCAGTGGATGAAACGCCACACATAGAACCGGCTCTGCGTCCTGTAATAGTCATATATATAAAATTCTCGTGTCACAATGTTAGGTACCATACTCCTCCCAAACGGCTTGATCGATTTTTATGAAATTTTATATGCATATTCAGTAGTAGGTCGGAGAATCGGCTACTTTTCAGAACCCTAAGTTAGTCATTAGTAACCCTAGGATTGTCCACCCCTAACATTTATTTATTTTTAAGCAATTTTTTTATTTATATTTTTTTATTCTTCTTCACCCTTCTATCACCAACCCCTATTTTTTTATAGTGTTATTAATTTATAAGGCAAAACAACGTTTGCCGGGACGGCTAGTAATCGTATAAAATTAATTATTTTCTTTCGTTTAAATCAATTCAAATCAAATAAATTAATAAAAACACTGAATACCTGTCGCATTACTAGAAAATTTCTTGTATGTAACCTCAATGGTTTCTAATATGACGTAGATCATCACTTTACTTTTTGTTTTACAATTTTAATCTACCAAATACATAAAAAAATACTCTTGTATGTCCATTTAATTCTCCATAATCCTTATTTCATTACAAACAGCCAGTTTCAAACAACGCCATCTAGTCCCAAGATAAGCAGAGCTTGTGTTATGGATATAGATAAGTCCCCTCTGATGGAACCCCCATCCAATTCAAACGAGGTTCGATATTACGACGGCCTGAGCCGAGGTACGAACCCCTAGCGGTGCCTTCAATATCCGTCGGAAGGGAGTTCAGAAGCCACTTCATAAGTTTTTTCCTTTAGTTTGGAGTGCCATCTGCACTCGCCCCCTATCGTCCGGTGAAGCTGTAAAGGCCAGCTGCAGCCAACAGCATTAGAGTAGTCCGAGAAAAAAAGACAACTGATAGCCAAACCGATACAAACAATCATATTAATGAATACAAATGTTTGCACCGTGCGAGTAATCGAACCCGCGACCACCGTTAAGCTATGTGCTGAACCGTTAGACTATCAACTCCATGAAACAAAACAAGGTGCTTGGAGGCTGAAATAGGTGGGACTGAGATACACACGTAGTCTAATTTATACAAAAATCCTCCGGTAAGATTACTGTCTTATCATCATCATCATCACTCATCGTCGTCATCACTCATCATCATCACTTATCACCACCACCACTCATCATCACCAAAAAGTCATCATCATCATCAAGATGCTACGAACCGTAATAGACTTATATGCTTTCTTAGCTGATGCCTTGGTGATATCAAACAGCTTGATGCAGCAGTCTCTGGACGCAGACACGAGGATCTGTTCTCGCGGATGGAAGTCCAGGGCTGTTATCTCGTCTGTGTGATCGTATCTAGTGAACAAAATATTTACTCATTAATAATTATCGACCAGAAGTCTATACCCACATTTTATTTTTAATTATCTACTTGTTTATAATATTAATAAGAACTAAGATTTTTTATAATATGAGCCTATGTGTTATTCTGATGTATAAGCTATATTACTGTAAAGTATCTACAAAATCCATAGTACTTTTATTGTAGTTTTGCTTCTTTACTTTTCTTTTGTAATTGTAATAACAAACAAGCTGACATTCCACCTGATGGTAAGTGGCAATCGTCGCCTATATACATGATCATCACTACGGATATCACGTTATCATGTGATGCACGTGACCACTCATGTGTTACAATTCCAGAGCACAAAGATGCCTAATCTACATTCTACATACACTATATATAATACTAGCTGTGCCCGCGGTTTGAGGCACGTGAAATTTATAGCCTATATGTTATTCTGATGTATAAGCTATATTACTGTAAAGTTTCATCAAAATCCATTCAGTAGTTTTTGCGTGAAAGACTAACAAACATCCATCCAAACTCACAAACTTTCGCGTTTATAATATTAGTAAGATGTATTGAAGTAATACATACAGAGCCCTGATTACAGGGTGGCCCTGCTGCTCCCTCCCAGGGTCCACCTCCTCAGGTGCTGACTTGGCCAACATACGCTCCACGTCCAGAATCTGAAATCAATGGAGGAAGGGATTGTCAGTAATAGGGAAATGTGTTTATTGCTAGCAGTAACCTCAACAGCAGGAACTGTAAGCTATTGACGTAAATTCCTGATGAATTTGCCACGATATGCTAACTGAGCTGACATTCATCCTCATCATCCACTCCACATAGAAAACACCCAAACCGATACAAAAACCATACTCATGAATACAAATATTTGTGTCGTGCGAGGAATCGAACCCGCGACTATCGGCACAGCACCGCCAGACCACCGAGGTCGTCGGACAATTTGCTAAATCAAAAAATCTAATACTAACCAAACAAAAGTAACAAAATAGTGAGTGAGGTGACGTGTGTACGTGTGAATGTAGGGTGAATGAATTTATGGACAGTCCAGCAGTGGGACATCAGTCTTGACTCACCTTGATACTGGCGTCCACACTGCCCGTAGCCACGAGCTGGCCGCACGAGCTGAACGCGCCGGCGCGGCACGCCATCTTGTGTGACGTCACGTACGCCGTCTCGTACGTCGCCGGCTCCGGCGCTAGTGATGACGCATCCATTTCGAACTCCAAATCTGCGATGGGGACATGTATCGATATATCGGACTCTTATAAATATATGTGTCCCGTACGTCACCAGTTCCGGTGTTAGTGACGACGTGTCTTTTCGCATTCCATGTCTGTGATGAAACGGGGATTAGTATCGATATATCGGATTCTTATAAATATATATGTCACGTACGTCGCCATTTCCGGCGTTAGCGAGGACGCCCATTTCGAACTCCAAATCTGGGGTGGGAACATGTATCGATATATAGTACTCTCATAAATACATAGGTCACGTATATTGCCAGCTCCGGCGCTAGTGACGACGCGTTCATTTCGAACTCCAAATCTATGATAGGGACATGTATCGATATATCGGATTCTTATAAATATATAAGTTACATACGAAGCCAGTTCCGTCGATTTTTTATTTATTAATTCCTAACAATAAATATTGTGTCGATTTTAAAATACAAAATTATAATCTAATATCATCGACGTATCTTTTCGAACTCCAAATCTATGATGCACGGAATGGGGACATGTATCGACATATCGGAATATCGATGAATCATCATGATGATAATAATAATAATATAACGATGAATCATCATGTACTAATGATAATAATAATAATAATGACATAGCATCATCTAGTCCCAAGTTAAGCAGCGCTTGTGTTATGGATAGTAGACAACTCACAGATATACTTACATACTTTTTTTTGGTAAATACATACATAATACATATGTATTTAAATATTATGTTTTAAACATGTATCTAATTATATCTAACAGTTATCTAGTACCCATAACACAAGATCTACTAGGCTTGGGACTAGATGGCGCTGTGCAATTGTCCAAAGATGTTATATCATTTAATTAGTGAAACTACTCACCAAACCCAGTGGTGCCGAGTAGATGTTCAGCACCGCTGGACGCTGCCAGGCGATCCTTACGATCTGGTTCATGTTGGAGACCAACCATCATGAGGTTCAATAACCTGAGGATTAATAGACAATATTATATTTTTTTATATCTTATCGATTAGGTGTTCTTTTATCGGATGTCTATTTCACTACTTAATAGATTTTTATTTTGTTTATTTCTGTTAATATTGATTGATCTACAAGTTTTTAGAAATAAAACAAACATAACAAGGTGTTCACTGTAATATAGTTTACTATATCATACACAATCAAGCACATACACAATCTTAATTAAGTAAAATAATAACTTTACATGTAAATTAAAACTGCAATTCTTATGTTTTTGTGAAGGAACTGACTCCTGGTATAAAGCTAGTGTGGGAGTCAGGATTAACCATCTTAGTGCCATACATTTTTTCGCAATATATGTGAAAAATGATTCGAGTAAGAGAAAATATTGTGTAACTTTTGTAAAAATGCTTCAATATTTGGAATAGCAGCCGGACTAAAAAACACTGACATGTGAGTCGCTACTGCGCATCTGGCATTTTTTGATAAAACGCGCAGCATGACATTAAGATTGTTAAACTATACACTTTGACGGTTTCTCTGGTCTAGCACACTGCCTTACATCTGATGGTTGTGGGTTCAATTCCTCACATGATGCAAACATTTGTATTCATGAGTATGATTGTTGTATCGGACTGGTTGTTTTCTATATACAATATGTATGTATTTATGAAAAAAATATCTATGTATTTGTATCAGTTGTCTAGTACCCATAACACAAGCTTTAGCTAGCTTAATTTGGGTCTAGATAGCGCTGTGTGAAATATCCTGGGAAGATTTAAATAAATAAAGGAATTGTTACATAGTACAAAATGAAGTGGCACCCGCTGTTTGTTTGCTAAATTAAACTATGCAATAGATTTTAATGCAGTTTTTAGTCATAGATAGTGTGATTCAAGAGGAAGGTTTATATGTATAATAACATATACACCCATATGAAGCTGCGTAGTAAGTAAGATATAAAATAGTAAATTGAATATAGTTTGTACCTGTCACTGGGGGGACAAGGCGGGTCTGCATGCACGGCTGCCGCCAGCGTAGCGGCTATAGGTTGGAATCCATCGTAAAACAGTTGGCTATAAAATAAAAAACAATAAATAAGTCATAATAACATATATAAGCATTTAATGCTATATTTATTATTAACTTGTACATATATATATTTTTATGTTCTATTATTATTATATTTAAAAGAAAAAGAAAGAAAGATCAGTAAAGTGGATATTCAAAATTATTAATTACATAAAATTTAACATTTGTTTCGCAATTGCATACTTCGGTATGTCTCAATATTTACCTTATAATCATACGGTATAACAACTCGCGGTTCTTTACAACATTCCTGTTATCGACCTCTGTGCTTGTTTCTTTCATTGTTATAAAATATTATAAGACAATAAACGAATAAACTGAATTTAAAGCCGGTAAAATGCAACAAACTACGCTGAATGAAAGTTAGGTTATATTTTGTTTCTCCAACTGTCAGTTTGGCACTTTGATTGACAGTAATTGACGTTTCGCGGTTATTATGTATTGTCTGTGGTTTTTGTGTTGTCCATATAAAAATATCGACTATTGATTATATTAAAATCGCCGAATTATATTAAAATTTCTGACCGAGTATTAATTCTGCTCTAAAATAAAGACCAAATCAATAAACACGCCAATGCGTATAGCTGTATAAACTACTACTAAAATCAATACCTACGAGACTACGGGCATGCGCAATGATGTTGTCGCGCAATATTAGCAACAAAATTCAAACAAGTTTTGCAACGAATAAACATTAAATTATTAATAACTAGGTACTAGCCCCGGATTTGCCCGGGTGTACATGTATTATATATAATATAAACCTTCCTCTTGAATCTCTCTACATATCTATTAAAAATCCGTTGCGTAGTTTTAAAGATTTCAGCATATATAGGGACGGACAGACAGCGATAGCGACTTTGTTTTATACTATGTAATGATAATGATGGGAACTTGTAACGTTACAATGCCTAGTCGATTTCCAAGCGGTCTCTGACCCCTCATGTCTAGTTTATGGTAATTCGTTACGATGTACTAAGTTACCTGACTTCATGTTTATCTTATTATGGTACTCTTATTGATGCTGGTGCAGAAGAAATGGATGACCATTAGTGCTGCACTATCGTATACAGTTATCTAAGACTGATGGTAGACACCGTTCTTTTATTATCCATGAAAGAAATTCTTGAACATTCGATACAAGATATGTAAGCTTAATTCGGATAAAGTTTTGATAAGTAAAGATCTATTACGAAAAGAACTATATAGCAAAGTTGAACAAAATTGTGCCGCACCATAAAGTTCTGTTCAATATTTTTAATTAGAAACTTAAGGAACAAATAACAACAAATAATTATCACAAAACAATAATACATAAACGATATTTATACGGGTGTTTTTTTTAACGTATCACTATGCACATATTTCTAGAAAGTGTTTGTTTTTATAAATATAAATAATTATATTCTAATTCGATAATTTTATTGAAGAAAATTCATTTACTCTTTTGAATCAAACGATTAACTTCTTGTTATTGTTATTTCTTCATTATTAAACAAAGAATACTACTATATATAACAAATTTCTACGACAAATGTGCTTAAACATCGACCATTGACGGCCTCGGTGGTCTAGCGGTTACTTCCGATGATCGCGGGTTCGATTCATCGCACGGTGCAAACATTTGTACGTATGACTGATTGTTTGTATCGGTCTAGATGTTTTCTATATATATAATGTATGTATTTACAAATAAAAAGTAAGTATTTATATCAGTCTAGTACCCCTAACACAAGCTCTGCTTACCATGGGACTAGATGACGCTGTGTTAATTGTACAGGGAATAAAATATACGAAAACGATTACGCGCCATCTTTATTACACCGACAAACGACAACGAACTCTTTACTTTTTTAAAAATTGTTTTAAACGACAAGTTACTTTTTAAAATTATGTTTTATGGCTCTGGATACAAATATTATTTATATCGCGACATTGTTTTGACATTGTTTGTTTTATGAAATCTTCATACAATTAAAAACTTAATATAAACCCTTGTTTTTTATTCTAGCGTTCATTCGGAACACAGACTAATCACAATAAGAATGAGCGAGAGACTTGCGTATTTTGAAGTCTACATTCAGACTTCGTATAGGTAAATTTTATGTATTAATTATACCCATTTATTTCTCAGGTGCTACTAACGGGATGCAGATGCGTAGAGCTGGACTGCTGGGACGGAGATGACGGCAGTCCGGTCATCTACCATGGACACACGTTTACCACCAAAATACCGTTCCGGAGAGTCGTAGAAACAATTGCAAGGTATGCTCCTATAGAATAGAATAGAATAGAAAATAATTTATTCAAATAAACTTTTTTTTAATCTCCCGCTCATTCGGAAGAATAAGCAAGATGGTAGGGCAGGCCCCATCTCGGTGATAGGGCGACCTATTTCGCCCTACTCCGTTGTGAAATGGCGAGGCCATTTAGTAAACCGTCTAAACAAGGAGAACGAACTTATTTTCGCCATTTTGGGTTAGTTATTGAATATTTTTTCTTTTTGGTCAAGGTCACTATAACACGCAGACGAAGTTGCGGGCACAGCTGGTATATAAATAAGAGTCATAACGCCACTTATGTTACGGCGGGCTATATTTGCCTTTTAAAAATATATTTTATTTAATTAAAACAATGAAATTATTAAAGTATAAAATGTATAATTATGTCTAATGATCGAACAAGACTACTGTAAAAATATAACAATTAATAATTGGTGTTAGGTGCCGATTCGTGGTAATTTGCTGTTCCTGGTAGCGGTGTCAGCTTATTGTGCCACACACAGCAATTTACCAGGCGTTACGCCATGGTAACTCGCCTCTTGTCGAATTTTTTTTTTAACTTTTTCATAACCCTGAATTTGTTGAATTTTATTACATATCAATATAATTTATAATTAATCTATATATATATATATAACTCAAAGGTGACTGACATAGTGATCTATCAATGCACAGCCCAAACCACTCGACGGATCGGGCTGAAATTTGGCATGCAGGTAGATGTTATGACGTAGGCATCCGCTAAGAAAGGATTTTAATTAATTCTACCCCCAAGGGGATAAAATAGGGGCTGAAAGTTTGTATGAAACTTTGTCAATTTCCAACTATCGGGCTGGGACTTTGCATGCAAAAAGCTACTATGACCTAGGCATCCCCTAAGAAAGGATTTTGACGAATTCCACCCCTAAGTGGATAAATTAACGCGAGCGAAGCCGCAGGCCAAAGCTAGTTAGTTATATGTCTGAAATGAATGCATGTTAAATAACGTGAATGTCCATTTGATGATAATAATTTACAATGTCATGTTCATTACATTTATTTTATAAATCATTAATTGTATAATATCATTTTTTTAATAAAGAAAAATCGTTAAATTGTTATTTATATTATTAACCGCGTCTTAACACGAATAACTTTATAGTATGCTAGCTGACCCCACGAACTCTGTTCAGCCTCAGAATTAAATATGTCAAAGGTTTTTAGGAAGTTTAGTTACGCAATGAATTTCTGAACGCACCCTATCTGACAGGTATCAGCAGTTTGTATGGGAAAATAAAATTGTTGTTTTTACTATTTTACATGCAATTTCTTCATATTTTATCACCGTTTTAACCTTCCCTGGACTTCCACGAATATTTCAAGAATAAAATTAGCCAAATCGATTCAGCCGTTCTTGAGCTTTAGCGAGACTAACGAACAGCAATTTATTTATGGTAAATAAAGGTATTTACCTCTCTCGACGTTTCGACTAGGTTGCACTAGCCGTGGACACGAGCTGACTGGAGTAACAGCGATGTCAATGAAGATAGGTAAACACCTTTATTTACCATAACAGTAAAACACAAACAAAACTAAAACACGAAAGTTAAAAATAATCCCATATTGTGTGTTTAAATTAGTCGTTAATTCGTTTAAGTTTAACTGTGAAGTGGTCGTTGACAGGAGTGCGTTTGTTGCATCCCCGTACCCCCTCATCTTGAGCATCGAGAACCACTGCAGCCTCCCTCAGCAGCAGGTCATGGCCAGCACATTTGAGGTCAGTTATTACCGCTACAATACATTTACCGATGTTTTCTGCAGTAGTCTACAGCATGGGAAATAGAATAATATTTATTTCAATAAACTTAATATAATAATAATAATAATCTCAAATAACAATTCACACAGCGCCATCTAGACCCAAGTTAATCTAGCTAAAGCTTGTGTTATGGGTACCAGATTTGTGATACAAATACATAGATTTTTTTTCATACCGAAAATACCGAGATCGATACCAACAATCATACTCATGAATACAAATGTTTGTTCCGTGCGAGGAATCGAACCCGCGACCATTGGAAGTAAGACGGTGTGCTATACCGTCATACATTGTAATTCCGCACCGAGCATTATATATCAACTATTCTACTACGGCGTAATTTTTATACGCTTCAAAAATGATTATGAATGTTACGTTCTTCTGTTAAATAATAATGATAACCAAACTTCCGCCTCTAAAACTTACGGGTCTAAAGCCTAGGTTCCGTAGGCCCTAGTCCGCTCCTAAAAAATGAAAAGGGGTTTGCTAAAAATGGTCTAGGCAGAGGTGGACCAGCGTCGTCGGGGTTATGGAATATCCCTCCGCGTTCCCGTAACCCTGACAGAAGATGAATCCCAAGCCTAGGTAGCGTATGCTCTAAGGACGGTCTGCTGTAGAGCTGACCCTTAAAAAATGAAAAGGGATCTGCTAAACATGGTCTAAGCAGAGGTGGACATACGTGGTCGGGGTTATGGAAGATTACTCGCGCGTTCCCATATCCCTGACAAAAGGTGAATCCCAAGCCTAGGTAGCGTATGCCCTAATCCGCCCCTAAAAAATGAAAAGGGGTCTGCTAAAAGTGGTCTAGGCAGAGGCGGACCAACGTTGTCGGGGATATGAAAGATTACTCGCGCGTTCCCATATCCCTGACAAAAGGTGAATCCCAAGCCTAGGTAGCGTATGCCCTAATCCGCCCCTAAAAAATGAAAAGGGGTCTGCTAAAAGTGGTCTAGGCAGATGCGAACCAACGTCGTCCGGGTTATGGAAGATTACTCGCGCGTTCCCATATCGCTGACAAAAGGTGAATCCCAAGCCTAGGTAGCGTATGCCCTAATCCGCCCCTAAAAAATGAAAAGGGGTCTGCTAAAAGTGGTCTAGGCAGATGCGAACCAACGTCGTCCGGGTTATGGAAGATTACTCGCGCGTTCCCGTAACCCTGACAGTAGGTGAATCCTAAGCCTAGGTTGCGTATACCCTAGTCCGCCCCTGAAAAATGAAAAGAGATCTGCTTAAAATGGTCTAGGCAGATGCGGACCAACGTGGTTATGGAAGATTACTCGCGCGTTCCCATATCGCTGACAAAAGGTGAATCCCAAGCCTAGGTAGCGTATGCCCTAATCCGCCCCTAAAAAATGAAAAGGGGTCTGCTTAAAATGGTCTAGGCAGATGCGGACCAACGTCGTTATGGAAGACTGCTCGCGCATACCCGTAACCCTGACAAAAGGTGAAGAGAAGGAACACCTTGAGATTTTAGCCAGTAAGAGTCTAGCAGTTTATCTCCCTCAAAGCGGGTTCCATTAGAATTCCCCCCAAAAAAGGTCCTTGTCCGGAGCGATTTTTTTTTATACCACGTAGGTAGCAAACAAGCATACGACCCATCTGGTAGTAAACGGTTACCGTAGCCTATGGACGCCTGAGACATCAGAGGTGTCACGTGCACGTTGTCAACCCTTAAGAAGTCTTAATATACCCTTCTTGAAAAATCCCACTTGTTATTAATGTACTAGTACTGTACTGGTTGCGTCTTCATCCAGGCAGTGTTTGGAGACAAGCTGGTTACATCATTTCTGTTCGAAATTGACTACACCGACGACCCTCGGCTGCCCAGTCCAGACCAACTCAAGTACAAGGTAAATTATTATTATTCTTTACTAGCTTTTGTCCGCAGCTTCGCTTGCATAACTTCATTACTGACGATGAGACAACGGTAATAATAATAATAAACATTTATTTAGCAAACATTCCTAACATTAGCATGCAGTAAATTTAGCTGGTAGCATATATATATATACACAGCCACTACAACATACAAAATAATTAGAAACCAATATAGTAAGTAAGTAAGAAATTTGCTAAAAAGGACTCTGCTCAACATATTGCTGCAGCCGAAGCTACAGCGCTAAATTTCAGCTGAAGCCTACATATAAACCTTCCTCTTAAATCACTCTATCTATTGCTAAAAACGGCATTAAAATCGGTTGCGTAGTTTAGAAAATATAAGCGGACAGTCAGCGAAAGTGACTTCATGTTATACTATGTAAAGATAAATTCCAGGTGCTCATAAAGAACAAGAAACTACCGCCTATTGAATCAAGTCCAACGGTGGGACTCACTGGAGCCAGTTCAGCAGGACATGGAGGAGTACTCGCTACTGCTTTCAGGTGATTACTATACTGTGGAGATCTTTGGGGGAGGCTTATGTCCAGCAGTGGACGTCTTCCGGGCTGAGATGATGTTGATGATGACAAGTGAACGAAAGCTGCTTGTACACTTGGGACTGGTGTGCTCTAATCACTACGACTGATTTACTCCTATTTAGTTACTCAACCAGTTGGTTGTATATTTAATATTTTCTCTATTTGAGTATTTAATTGAATTAGTGCTAGTTGGTAGTATGTATTCACACGCTTCAACTTAAAAATGTAAAGTAACTACCAAAATTATTTAAAAGAGCAACACGCAAGTTTTTTGCTTGTTCTTCTTGTGATGAAACATCTTTCCGAATCTACTGGATTGAAAAAAATATATTTTCGATTCTATAAATTAAATAAAACTCCGTCCAATTCAAACGGAGATCGAAATTACAACGATCTGAGTCGAGGTTCGAAACCCTAGCGGTGCCCTCACACTAAAGTCGTATCCGTCAGGCGGGAGTTGGCCTTTAGCCGCTCCATAAGTCCTTCTTTTGGTTTGGAGTGCCATCTGCACTTACACCCTATCGTCCGGTGAAGCTGTAAAGATCAGCTGCAGCCAACAGCATTAGAGTAGTCCGAAAAAAGTCACCTGCACTCGCCCCCTATCATCCAGTGAAGCTGTAAAGGCCAGCTGCAACAGCATTAGAGTAGTCCCAAAAAGGAAACAATAAATTAGCGATACCCATAGACTAAAGTCGATTCTGTCAGGCGGGAGTTGGCCTTCAGCCGCTCCATAAGTCCTTCCTTTGGTTTGGAGTGCCATCTGTACTCGCCCCCTACCGTCTGGTGAAGCTGTAAAGGCCAGCTGCGACCAACTGCATTAGAGTAGTCCGGAATATCGGATTGTTATAATAATTATCCGTGTTACTTACTTCCTTTGGTTTGGAGTGCCATCTGCACTCGCCCCCTATCGTCTGGTGAAGTTGTAAAGGCCAGCTGCGGCCAACTGCATTAGAGTAGTCCGGAATATCGGATTGTTATAATAATTATCCGTGTTACTTACTTTCTTTGGTTTGGAGTGCCATCTGCACTCACCCCCTATCGTCTGGTGAAGCTGTAAAGGCCAGCTGCGACCAACTGCATTAGAGTAGTCCGGAATAACGGATTGTTATAATAATTATCCGTATTACTTACTTTCTTTGGTTTGGAGTGCCATCTGTACTCGCCCCCTACCGTCTGGTGAAGCTGTAAAGGCCAGCTGCGACCAACTGCATTAGAGTAGTCCGGAATATCGGATTGTTATAATAATTATCCGTGTTACTTACTTCCTTTGGTTTAGAGTGCCATCTGCACTCGCCCCCTATCGTCTGGTGAAGCTGTAAAGGCCAGCTGCGGACAACTGCATTAGAGTGGTCCGGAATATCGGATTGTTATAATAATTATCCGTGTTACTTACTTTCTTTGGTTTGGAGTGCCATCTGCACTCGCCCCCTATCGTCTGGTGAAGCTGTAAAGATCAGCTGCAACAGCATTAGAGTAGTCCGAAAAGACTACTACATGAAAAATGTTTTTTTTAAGGTCGAATGGCATACGGCATACAAGCACCTCGCTTCAGGAGCAGAGCAACCGCACCAGCTCTATAATGTCCAACCAGTCGGCTGGCAGTTCCCTCACTGAATACTTCTCCGACGAGGACTACGATGAAGATGATGAGGAACTTGATGGTCAGCTTCTTCTTCAGATTACTAGCTGACCCGGCAAACGTTGTTTTGCCATATAAATTAATATCGCTATTAAAAAATAGGGGTTGGGGATAGTTTTGGATTGTATGTATTTTTAATGCAATGTAAAAAATAAGTCATATAAATGAAAAAAACTTTTTTGTCTGAGTATATTTCATATGTATGTACATAAAAAAACGTATTTAAGTATTTATATCAGTTGTCTAGTACCCATATCTAATCACTTCTCTCCATCCTAAGGTTGCCTGGAAGAGATCGCTTTTTAGCTATAAGGCCGCCCATTGTTACCTCTCTGTCTTGTTTATTGTATTTTTTTTTATCATTTTATACATAATTGTATATGTAATTGTATTTTCTGTGAGAGGGACAATAAAAAGTTTCATTCATTCATATCACAAGCTCTGCTTAGTTTGGGACTAGATGGCGCTGTGTGATTGTCCAGGGTTATTATTATTACACTTATGATATTTGCACTGTACGAGGAATTGAACCCGCGACCATTGAAAGTGAACGGCGTGCTAAATCACTAAACCATCGAGGCTATCAATTATTAATCAGATATTAATAAGTAACACACAATTTCAGAGAAAGAACTGCACAAAATTCTAAAATCCATGGAGGATAAGTGCGGTCGGACTTCCCTCTCCCTCTACCAAAGTTTCCGAAGGAGTGAGGGAGACGGCGAAACCACTACGGGAAGCGTAAAACATACCACCACGAGAAAACGAAGCAACCAGATCGCTAAAGAACTGAGCGATATGGTCACATATGTTCAGGTAGGATATGGTTTCTATTTTATTTTATTTATGGGCATAGGCATGGTGGGGCAGGATAGGGCGCCCCAACCTGGCTCCGCTCTGAAAGATACTTATGTAACACAGTTGCCTATATACATCAAAATAATAATAGCATTTAATAATGTCTAGTAAGACAAATCCAATATTGTCTACTAAGCACTGCCGTATCGAAACTGTGTCACCCCACCTTACATTTTCCTATTGTTATTTAGTATATGCCCACGGCTACTTTTTACCATCGCACCGCTCGCCATCAACAGTGAATTCATTCCTACACACTAGAACCTAAGTGGTCTCGGACAGCGCGGTTTCAGAGGAGCTTCCTCCCGCGTACACTTAGATTGCGGAATGAACTGCCGAGGTTTTCTCACGACACTACAGCATGGGGTTTTTCAAGTAGGGTATATTAAGTTTTCTTAAGGGTCGGCAACGCGCACGTGACACCCCTAGTGTTTCAGGGGTCCATAGGCTACGGTAACCGTTTACCATCAGATGGGCCGTATGCTTGTTTGCCACCATAGTATTATAAAAAAAAGTATATAAGTTCAGTATTTTTATGTACATACTAGCTTTTGCTCGCGGCTTCGCTCCCGTTTATTTATCCTCTTAGGAGTGGAATTCATCAAAATCCTAACTTTGAGGTAGGCATACGTCATAGTAGCTTTATGCATGCAAAGTCTCAGCCCGATCGGTTTAAAATTGACAAAGCTTCATACAAACTTTCATCCCTTATTTTATCCCCTTGGGGGTAGAATTAATTAAAATCCTTTCTTAACGGATGCCTACGTCATAACATCTACCTGCATGCCAAATTTCAGCCCGATCCATCTAGTGGTTTGGGCTGTGCTTTGATAGATCACTATGTCAGTCACCTTTGAGTTATATATGTTTAGATTGTCAGTATAATATCATCTGTAATATACATCGTCTCAACCGACAACATCGTATTGTTACCCCGCAACAGTACCTAACCAAATGTAAAAAAAAATATCTAAGAACTGAGCGATATGGTTGCATATGTTCAGGTAGGAGCAATATGGTCTCTATTCTATTCTATTCATGGTATAGTCGCGGTGGGGCAGGATGGGGTGTTTGCCCCACCCTGGCTCTGTTCTATAAGGTGAGATTGCCGTCAAACGCGCTCAAATTATGATATGAAAAAAAAAACCTAATCAAATCTACAAAAAAAAAATATAAATAATAATACTTAAATATTTTTTTAAGTTACTCTTATTGCTACATTTTGAGGTAAAAAAATAAATATACATTTAGGGATATAATAGATCACACGTATAAAATTTCATCAAAATCGGTTACGCCATTTCATAGGATATATATATAACACTTAAAACTGCGACAAATGTAAATTTTATATATTAGATTAGTGCAAAAATGAACATAAAAATTCAAAAATATTATTTATAATTACAGGCGATCAAATTCCGCGGCCTCAGCCCATTGTCGCCGAAGAGCTCTATCAAACAACCCAGCAACTCAAGTGTTACCAAGGACAGCGCGCCGTGTAGCAGCTTCGAGTCCTCGGAGAGCAGCGACAGCACTGGAACAGTAAATGTAAGTAAAGTAAAGTACTTTATGTATTATAATAGATGTACCATTATTAATACAGTTGAATGTTAATCCCCCAATATGATCAAGTGCAAAGATGGCTGGTTCGCAGTAAAAGAAAATCGCGTATCTTCGACAGATACTCTAATTTCATTAATTTCATCAGGTAGCTCAGTAGTCGCTAACCCATACAAAAATGTATGAAAATGAATTTGTCGTAGACTGGACTCTGATCTGATAAACTGAAGAACGAAAATCGCGTATCTTCGACAGATACTCTAATTTCATTGATTTCCTCATAGCTCAGCAGTCGCTAACCCATACAAAAATGTATGAGTCGTAAACTATACTCTAAACTCATAAACTGAAGAACGAAAATCGTGTATCTTGGACAGATATTCTGATTTGATTCACTCCATCAGGTAGCTCAGCAGTCGCAGTCCTCAAGCGGTCGAGCTCGCTGCCTGAACGCGCCAGCTTCTCACCACCCTTGCTACAGATGTTCTTCCGTCAATGAAGCTATTGGCAAGAAGATTTGCAGGAAACATCCCCTAGCTCTCGTAGCCCATACGGAAACACAACTCGTTAGGACTTATCCCGCCGGGTAAGTTACATATATTAACTACTAGCAGTGTCTCGACGACCCTATAATGGCAGTTAACCTCCCCAAGGGTTCACCCGTTCCGTCCCGACCACACTTAAACACACACACGACACCGTCCTCGCCGGCGAAGACGACGACCTCAAACACACAATATCTCGGCGCTCCACACCGGCGCCCACGGGCGCCCTTCTGATCGATCCCCCGTCCAATTCAAATAGGGAGAGAAATTACGACGGCCGGAGCCAAGGTTCCAACCCCTAGCGGTGCCCTCAGACTAAAGTCGTATCCGTCAGGCGGGAGTTGGCCTTCAGCCGCTCCATAAGTCCTTCCGCGGGTTTGGAGTGCCATCTGCACTCGCCCCCTAACGTCCGGTGAAGCTGTAAAGGCCAACTGCGGCCAACAGCATTAGAGTAGTACGAAAAAAAAATAACTAGCAGACCCGGCCACGCGTTGCTGTGGCTAATAATAGACAAATAATTTGCAATAAATTAATATTGCGACTATAAATTGAGATGTCCTCCTATCTTACAAGTTGGATCAAATTGCATAGAAATTAAATTTGCAATCGGTTTAGTAGTTTAGAGGACAAACAATGTGACACGTAATTTTTATATATAAAGACTAGCTGTACCGGCAAACGTTGTTTTGCCTTAAAATAAAAAAAGAAAATTTAGGGGTGAACTATTCCTAACATTTAGGGGGATGAAAAATAGATGTTGGCCGATTCTCAGACTTACTCAATACGCTCACAAAATTTCATGAGAATCGGTCAAGCCGTTTCGGAGGAGTATGGGAACGAAAACTGTGACACGAGAATTTTATATATAAGATATACTACTAGCTGATCCTGCAATCGTTGTTTTGTCATATAAATTAAAATCGCTATTAAAAAATAGGGGTTGGTGATAGAACGGTGAAAATTTAGGGTTGTATATATTTTTAAATCCACATTATAAAAAAATAAGAAAATATTGGCCAAAAAATAAAAGTTAGGGTATGGACACCCTTATGACTTAGGAATGTGAAAAATAGTTAATACCGATATTATAGAATAACTGTTTTACAGCCTAAGAATCGACTCGTCGAACTTCGACCCTGTGACCTTCTGGTCTTGCGGCGTGCAACTCGTCGCGCTGAACTACCAGACGGAAGACGCCGCAATGGCTGTTAACGCAGCCATGTTTGAAAGCAACGGATATATTGGATATGTGAAGAAACCGCCAGTAATGTGGGATCCTGGACATATTGCGTACAGACGGTCAGTATTTTTTATATAGATAACTGAAGTGGCCAGGGTCCACTCCGGTCCATAAATCGGATGACATCTATCTCTCACTCTACTACATCATGACCACAATTGTTCTGACAAGAGCGTATCGAATAAGACCTGAAGTGACAATGCTAACTGCTTAACTGAACTTGGCTTTTATTTATTTATATTTATAAACTCTTTATTGCACCAATAGAATTAATACATAAGAATTATACAGAAAAAAGATATGTAAGTACAAAAGGCGGTCTCATCGCTAGAAGCAATCTCTTCCAGACAACCTTTAGGTAGAGAAAGTACAACAAAAGTGGTAGGTGGCGCATGAATAGAATGGAAGAATATATATATAAACGTAATAATAGGGATAGGATAATAATACCAATAAATGTTAGAAGATAACACACATTATATATACTATATATAAAATATATACATACATATATAAATACACAGAAATGCAAGTACAAAACAACAATGTCATATGCAAAGAAACAAGACACATAGCAAGAAGGAATATAGAGAAATTTAAGTGGAGAGGTAAAGGGATTTAACCGAGCTCTTAAAAATGGGTAATGATTGGCTTTCATTAGCTTCAGCTAAGGAAAAAATTGCAGTTAAGTTTTAACAGCAGTCAGTTTTTAGCAGCCATTTGCACTCGCCCTCTATCGTCCGGTGAGGCTGTAAAGGCCAGCTGTTTTCAATTAACCTTTAACTTAGTCCTTACCTGCTCTATAAGTCCTTCCTTTGGTTTGAAGTGCCATCTGCATCTGCATCACCCTATTGTCCAGTAAAGCTGTAAAAGCCAGCTACGGCCAACAGCATTAGAGTAGTCCGAGAAGACAACCATGTGTGTGAGATGGCCCATACTACTATATAATATAATATTTTTTATGCAGGACAATTCACACAGCGCCATCTAGTCCCAAAAGAAGCAGAGCTTGTGTAATAGACAACTGATTGAAATAATCAAAATATTTATTTTAAATACATATATTACGCATAAAAAGGCCCTAAATGTAATACATTTTCCTAATTTGCTGTTATTTTGCGGAATTCCATTTCTGTACTTAATCGATATATATTATTTTGCACACATGCTAATGGTAGCGGTAATATATATAAATTAATATAAATAATATAAATAATCTTTAATACAAATGTTTGTATCATATGAGGAAGTGAACCCGCGACCATTGGATGTCAGGCGCTGTGCTAAACTACTAAACAACTGAGACTATCGACTTATGGCGAAGATTGAATCCACGACCATCGGTCAAGCAAAGCGGTGTGCTAAATTACTAGACCACTAAGACTGCACTTATGACTTACCATATCATATTACCAATTTCAGGTTCAACCCTATGGACAAAGAGTTTGATGGTATCCACGCAGCCCACCTGACCCTCGCCGTTATATCCGGACAGTACGTCGCTGAAAATGTATACTCATTCTACAACGCATTCGTTGAAGTCGAAATATTAGGCGTGCCAGCCGACTGTAAGAAGATCCGGACAAAAGTGGCAAGGAAGAACGCTCTAAACCCTATATGGAATGAAACATTCAATTTTAAGGTAAGCTTAAATATTCTAATACTGGCTGAAACCGTCAGTGCACTTATACTAATATTATATAAGACTACAAGAAAATCCGGACTAAAGTAGCCAGGAATAACGCTCTAAATCCTATATGGAATGAAACATTCAATTTTAAGGTAAGCTTAAATATTCTAATACTGGCTGAAACCGTCAGTTCACTTATACTAATATTATATAAGACTGCAAGAAGATCCGGACTAAAGTAGCCAGTAATAACGCTCTAAACCCTATATGGAATGAAACATTCAATTTTAAGGTAAGCTTAAATATTCTAATACTGGCTGAAACCGTCAGTTCACTTATACTAATATTATATAAGACTACAAGAAAATCCGGACTAAAGTAGCCAGGAATAACGCTCTAAATCCTATATGGAATGAAACATTCAATTTTAAAGTAAGCTTAAATATTCTAATACTGGCTGAAACCGTCAGTTCTCTTATACTAATATTATATAAGACTATAAGAAGATATGAACTAAAGTAGCCAGGAAAAACGTTCTAAATCCTATATGGAATGAAACATTTAATTTTAAAGTAAGCTTAAATATTCTAATACTGGTTGAAACCGTCAGCTCTCTTATACTAATATTATATAAGACTGCAAGAAGATCCGGACTAAAGTAGCCAGGAAAAACGTTCTAAATCCTATATGGAATGAAACATATAATTTTAAGGTAAGCTTAAATATTCTAATACTGGCTGAAACCGTCAGTTCACTTATACTAATATTATATAAGACTACAAGAAAATCCGGACTAAAGTGGCAAGGAAGAACGCTCTAAACCCTATATGGAATGAAACATTCAATTTTAAGGTAAGCTTAAATATTCTAATACTGGCTGAAACCGTCAGTTCACTTATACTAATATTATATAAGACTGCAAGAAGATCCGGACTAAAGTAGCCAGTAATAACGCTCTAAATCCTATATGGAATGAAACATTCAATTTTAAAGTAAGCTTAAATATTCTAATACTGGCTGAAACCGTCAGTTCTCTTATACTAATATTATATAAGACTATAAGAAGATATGAACTAAAGTAGCCAGGAAAAACGTTCTAAATCCTATATGGAATGAAACATTTAATTTTAAAGTAAGCTTAAATATTCTAATACTGGTTGAAACCGTCAGCTCTCTTATACTAATATTATATAAGACTGCAAGAAGATCCGGACTAAAGTAGCCAGGAAAAACGTTCTAAATCCTATATGGAATGAAACATATAATTTTAAGGTAAGCTTAAATATTCTAATACTGGCTGAAACCGTCAGTTCACTTATACTAATATTATATAAGACTACAAGAAAATCCGGACAAAAGTGGCAAGGAAGAACGCTCTAAACCCTATATGGAATGAAACATTCAATTTTAAGGTAAGCTTAAATATTCTAATACTGGCTGAAACCGTCAGTTCACTTATACTAATATTATATAAGACTGCAAGAAGATCCGGACTAAAGTAGCCAGGAAAAACGTTCTAAATCCTATATGGAATGAAACATATGTATAATTTTAAGGTAAGCTTAGATATTCTAATACTGGCTGAAACCGTCAGTGCACTTATACTAATATTATATAAGACTATAAGAAGATATGAACTAAAGTAGCCAGGAAAAACGTTCTAAATCCTATATGGAATGAAACATATAATTTTAAGGTAAGCTTAAATATTCTAATACTGGCTGAAACCGTCAGTTCTCTTATACTAATATTATATAAGACTGCAAGAAGATCCGGACTTTCCTGGCTACTTTATAGCCAGGAAAAACGCTCTAAATCCTATATGGAATGAAACATTCAATTTTAAAGTAAGCTTAAATATTCTAATACTGGCTGAAACCGTCAGTTCACTTATACTAATATTATATAAGACTGCAAGAAAATCCGGACTAAAGTAGCCAGGAAAAACGTTCTAAATCCTATATGGAATGAAACATTTAATTTTAAAGTAAGCTTAAATATATAGCTTATATAATAGTGGCTGAAACCATCAGTTCATCTATACTAATATTATAAAAGAAATTATGAACCAAAATCATTAGGAAAGTGGCTCTAAACCCTATATGGAATGAAACATTTCATTTTAAGGTAAACTAAAATATTCTGAAACCGGCAGTTGATTTTTAAGCTAAGCAGAGCTTGTGTTATGGGTACCAGATAATTTATATTACATACACAATATACATAGAAAACACCCAGACCGATACAAACAATCATACTCATGAATACAAATATTTGTACCGTGCGAGGAATCGAACCCGCGACCATCGTAAGTAAGACGGTGAGCTAAGTATAAACCCTATATGGAATGAAGCGTTTAATTTTAAGGTAAGTTTTAATATAGTGGCTGAATCTGTCAGTTCCTGTACATATAGTAATATTGCGTAAGATTTTATAATAAACTGTCAGAATCTGCACTAAATCTGACAGAGAGGCAATTCAAATCTTATATTAAAGAATTCTTGTGTAAGAAAGCCTATTACAGGATAGACGAATTCATAGACGACAACATATCAAGTAAATAATTAGTTTATTAGCATACAACGTTATAATTTGTTTATCTCATTGCTTTCTTGATTCAATTATTTTAGAAATATGAAAGCGTAGCGGTTTTTGTGATTGATTGCCGCATGCATTCTTATGTGAAATGTGAATACTATAACCATCAGATGGCAATTGTGAGTAGCTATGACGTGGTCTGGTGTTTTGAGTAGTCATGCTCACTAAAATGTCCAGACTTGTGGCGGCGTGGTGGACCGAGTCATTGGGCTCCCTAAAATAGGGTCTAGCGCAGTGGTGGCTGGCTCATCCGTCATACTCGTGAACGGGTGCTGCTTGTGTGGACTGGCTGCTCTAATCACTATGACTTGTTTTCTCTTATTAATTGTATAACCAGTTGTTGTATATTGAATGTTTTTTCTATTTTATTATTTCATTGAATTAGTGCTAATCGCTGGTTTGTATTAAGGGGGTCTTCCTATGTGATGGGTTGAAAAAATCGATTTTTTTTTTTCATAAATTGCTCCCTTAACATGTCTAGAATACGGTAGTAAAGCGATTTTAGAAAATTCGAAGTCGTTTTAAAGATACAGCAGGTAAAAGAAAGAGCGGTTCGGAGCGGTGAGTTGGCAGTTAGAGACCGGGCCTATTGTGTATTGGGCCCGGCTTTATACCTGGCCTCCCTTTTATTAATATATTTGTTTATACAAGTTTAGACACGTTTAGGTAAACTTACTGATAAAGTTATCCAAGAAATTACAAAATTCTACGGATTAGCAATTCGACGCCATCCAGATTCGCTTGAAGATATGAGAAAGGAAGTTTGGGCAACGTACTATCACAAATGTTCTTCTGATGAAAACCCTCAGCATCAATTTTGTCCAGAAGGCGAAGACAGTTGGTGTAAATGGCGTAAGGCTGAAACTAATAATGAACTGGACCAATTTCATCACGATAAACCACCTCTAATTCCGCAAGTCCAAGAAGCTATCAAACCGGTTTTCGAAGATTTATCGAAAGACGAATTATTAATTCGTTGTTTAGGAGCAGAGACACAAAACAATAACGAATCTTTGAATTCTTTGATTTGGACTTTCGCTCCTAAACATCTTCATTCTGGTCCCAAAGTTGTTGAAATTGCTAGCTACTTAGCAGTTATTATCTTTAATGAAGGTTTTCAAGGTATTTTAAAAGTTATGTCGATTATGGGATGCCCTGTTGGTCGTGAAGCCCAAGCGTATGTTGAGAAACGGGATGAAAAGCGAATCTTACGCTCTGAGCGGCGCGTAAGTGATGTCGTTAAACAAGCCAGGATTGACTCAAGAGCTGAACAATCTGCTTTAAAAGAGTTTCACGAGGAAGAGGAAGGAATACTCTATGGACCAGGCATCGCCGATTGAGAGTAAGTTGATATTTTAATAGTTTTTAACGGACTTGAAACTTTAAACGCGTTTTTCTCAAAACTGTGTTTTTCAAACTTTCCTCCATTGTATCTCAGAAACGGCTGGACCGAATTACTTGAAATTTACAGGGCACACTCAATATATGTAAACGCATGGAATGAACTATTATCAATCGAAAATTTTCAAAACTTCGATTTTTTTATAGCAAAAAACAAAAAAAAAACGCCTAATTTGCAACTTTTATTTCAAATGTCTATCAAAAATCCAATTTTTTTTATATTCATTTGATTATAGGTCATTCCGTGCTTTTAAGCCTACAAATTAAAACGCCGTTTTTTTTTTTTTTTCAGATAAGCCGATCAGCCGGAATCGTGGAGGAAGTGGGAGCTCTTTTTTTCGAGGCGGGGGTGTTCAGAGCGCTGTAACTCTAGTTTGGCTGAATATTTTTAGCTGAAATTTTATATTTATACTGTCCAAATATGTGTTAATAAATGATAAAAAACTTGAAGCTCTAAATATTTACTGGTCGTAGAAAAAAAATCCTAAAATATCCCTAAAAACAGGCCGTCACATAGGAAGACCCCCTTAACACACTTAAACTTAAATTGTAAGTAAGAATAAATTCTCCACGTTAGCACTACATCCAAGTGGTCCTCTGGTGTCATCCATAAATATATACAGCCACTTACCACTTTCTTTAAAAGAGATAAAAAATGATAAAATATTTATAAGAAATCTCAAGACATTGTTGATTAAAAAATGTTATTATACAATTTTAGAATATAAAAATGACACATTCAATTAAATATTATACAGATTTTAGTAATTAAATATATACAATTTCAAATTATTAATTATTATTACTATTTTTATTATTATTATTATATATTATATAAAAAATAACTCGTCCTCATCTCTTCTCTTCCGCTTGCTCTGCCCAACAGGGTCTATAATTAACCTACTTTGAAATGTACCTGTCTATCTATATACTGTAAAATTATGGAATGCAAAGCTTAAATAAATAAATAAATAAATAATTTTCAGATTAACTTCCCAGAACTAGCATTTGTCCGTTTCGAAATATACGATGCTGATACGAACTATATGCTGTCTCAGAGAGTGATACCACTGCAGTGTTTGCGACCGGGCTACAGGCATGTACGGCTGAGGTCAGTATTATATCCTTACTAGTATTATATATGCGAAAGTAACTGTCTGTCTGTCTGTCTCGCTTTCAAGTCAAAACTACTGAATCGATTAAAATGAAATTTGGTACACAGATAATCTAGACCCTGAGAAAGAACATAGGTAATTAATAGGCAACTTAATATAATTATATTAAGTTGCCCAACACGGCAATACAGCTCACCCCATACACCCCAGCTCTTGTGCTGAAAAGCAGCGTTGCAGCGCTCCAGCCGCTGCAACATTATGCTGAGCACGGACCTATTCAGTAGATGCTTCGACAAACATACACATGTACGCACCGCACACACGTAATTTGTGTACTTTTTTTTTGTAATTATTGAACTGTTTGTTTTTTTTTGTTTGTTTAATGTGTGTTTTAGTTTTTTCTTCTACTGAATAAATATCATTTCATTTCATTTATGTGGGAGTGAGATAATGTAATATAATGGGACGTATTATATAATATGAGATTTTTTTTCGGACTACTCTGATACTGTTGGTCGCAGCTGGTCTATACAGCTTCACCGGACGATAGGGGGCGAGTGCAGATGGCACTCCAAACCAAAGGAAGGACTTATGGAGCGGCTGAAGGACAACTCCCGCCTGACGGATACGACTTTAGTCTAAGGGTACCGCTAGGGATTCGAATCTCGGATCAGGCCGTCGTAATTTCGATCCCCGTTTGAATCCAATAAATTGGATCGGAGATAAGCGACCGGGGGCATCGGTGGTGCGCCTGGGCGCACGTAGGCCCCCGGTTGATTGCGCGGGGTATGGCCGGGGTCGTCGTCTTCGCCGGCGAGGACGATGTCGTGTGTGTATCTGAAAGTGTGGTCGGGACGGAATAGGCGGACTTATAAGGAGATTAACTGCTGTTATGGGGTCGTCGGAATGATTAAGGACATGTCTCGGGCGACGTTGTCGGATTATATCGGATATGTCTCCTCGGCATAGTCAATCTTATTGATTATAAGCGGGTTCGGGTGATATTGAGCGCAGTAGGCATTTCAAATGACATACAAATGTTTGTACCGCTCGAGGAATCGATTCCGGGACCGGAATTACGTCAATATGCTAAACCGCTAGACCAATGAGACCGTCAAAATCTTGATTGTCAATCTTGTATTCCTCGTCAGATCACCAACAAATCAGCCCCTAAACATGGCATCCCTACTCATCTTCTCCCGCTGTTGCGAGGAGTTGGCAGGAGAGACGTGTCGTGGAGACTTGGAGCCGAGTTCACCTCACGAAAGACGGAAGATCCACTTCCTGGTCGTATATGCTGTTGCGAGGCATGAACCGTACTCTATCCTCAAGGTGACGCAAGATACTACAGCGAATGAGGTAAGAAACTTGTTCTTGATTGGTTCTTGACTTCCTCAATAATATCTTCACACAGCACAAACTCTCCCACGCTTGACTTCTTTTAAATTTATAAAAGAAGATAAAGAAAAAATTAAAATAAGAATAATAAATACCAGCAAATGCTAAGAAAATGCGACAATAGTAAAGATCATAATAATAATAATTCGGGCTGCCATTTTAAATACCTGTCGAACTGTCCGAAAGTTTTTGAAAATAGGTGAAAAGGACATAGTACCAGTCACACAATAAGTACACACAGACTCACACTCATACACACACACACACACACTGCACTTACTTGGTTTCGGACCGTAAGTGTGGTAAAAAACCAGCTAAAGCTGAGAAAATGCGACAATAGTATAAATAATATAATAACACCAGTCACATAAATAGAAAGGCTCACAATAAGTACACACAGACTCACATAGACACACACATACACACACGCCCTGCACTTACTTGGTTTCGGGCCGTAAGTGTGGTAAAAAACCAGCAAAGTCTGAGAAAATGCGACAATAGTGAAAATAATATAATAACACCAGTCACGTAAATGAAAAGGCTTACAATAAGTACACATACACTCACACAGAAACACACATGCACACACACACACACACACTCACACTGCACTTACTTGGTTTCGGCCCTTATACGCCATAAAGCGTAAAAAACCAGCTAAAGCTGAGAAAATGCGACAATAGCGAAAATAATAATAATAATAACCCCAGGGACAATTAACACAGCGCCATCTAGTCCTACGCTAAGCAGAGCTTGTGTTATGGGTACTAGACAGCTGATATAAATACTTAAACATATATTTTGTAAATCTATCTAAATATATATAACTCAAATATGACTGACATAGTGATCTATTAACGCACAGCCCAAATCACTGGACGGATCGGGCTGAAATTTAGCATGCACGTAGATGACGTAGGCATCCGCTAAGAAAGGATTTTAATTCTACACCCAATGGGATAAAATAGGGGATGAAAGTTTGTATGAAACTTTGTCAATTTTAAACCGATCGGGCTGAGACTTTGCATGCATAAAGCTACTATGACGTAGGCATCCCCTAAGAAAGGATTATGATAAATTCTACCCCTAAGGGGATAAAATAGGACATGAAAGTTTGGTTTCTTCTTAGATTTTGTAGGCCCTAATTTTTTACACACGCTTTACATTTGTAAAGCCGTAAAAACTACACCTAATTGATAATAATACTTACTACTATACGAGCGAAGCCGCGGGCAAAAGCTAGTACATACATAATATACATAAAAAACACCCAGATACAAACAATCATACATTTCTGAACTTGTCGAATCATTCTAATTCATCCATAATAGAATAGAAAATCATTTATTCAAATAAACTTAATTTAAGCACTTTTGAAAAGTCATAGTTATCATTCTTTCAATCTACCGCTCATTCGGAAAGCTGTCTCATCACAAGAAGAACAAGCAAGAAACTTGCGTGTTGCTCTTTTAAATAATCATTGTAACTTTACATTTCCAATTCGAAACGTGCGAATACAAACCACCAACTAGCACTAATTTATTAGGGTCCGATATTAAATACACAATAGGATTAAAACAGTCGTAGTGATTAGAGCAGACCAGTCCCTACAAGCAGCACTCGTTCACGAGTATGACGTATGAGCCAGCCATCACTGCGCTCGACCATATTTTAAGGAGCCCAATGACCAATGAATGATGAATCATCATCATCTGCTTCTTCCTTATCCCATTTATTTGTGGTCGTCGTAATATGTTTTTCGCTTCCATTCATCCCTGTTCGCAGTCATCGCGTTATTTACTTCCTTTCTTACCATATCATCTTTCACACAGTCCATCCATCTCTGTTTCGGCCTTCCTCTGCCCTTATAACCATCCACATTCATTTGTAACATCTTTCTTAAAATATTATCCTCGTTCCTACGCATTACATGTCCATACCATGATAGACGATTACTCTTCAACCTCTCTGACACCGGCGCCACTTTCATACTTCCTCTAATGTATTCATTCTTTATCTTATCCATTCTTGTCACACTACACATCCACCTCAACATTCTCATTTCAGTTTTTTTTTTAACGGATGATAATGGAATGGTGCACCCGCCTGCGCTAACGGCTGGCGGGGTACCAGTGGGGGATGATAATATGAGCATGAGGTCAGGTCAGTTAGCCCATCGTGACAAATTCACCAGGTCTCATTTCAGTTGCATGCAGTCGTCTTTCATCCGTCGCCTTTACGGGCCAGCACCAGACCAATGAATGATGAATAATAATTTATATTCCCAGGCTATAGCCCAATGTTTAACAAAAGCGGGGGTCTGCCGAACCTCCCGAGGTAACTACGTCCTCGTGGAGGAGGTACCTTCGAGAGCACCAACTCAAAGGGTCCTGGCTCCTCACGAAAGGGTCCTGAGAGCAGCCACGGCGAGGGTTGGAGCCAGATTACTACTGAAGAAGGTCGGCGATGACCCAAGTAGCAGAGCCTGGTTGACAAGTATAAGGTGAGAGATGTTTCCAGGCAATCAAGTAAGAAGAAGAAGATGGTAAACGGTTACCATACCCTAAAGACGCCTGAAACACTAGGGGTGTCACACTTTGCCGTCCCTTAAAACCATAATATACCCTTCTTGAAACCCCATGCTGTAGTCTCTCGAGAAAACCTCGGTAGGTAGTTCATTCCACAATGTAAGTGTACGCGGGAGGAAGCTCCTCTGAAACTGCACTGTTCTATATACCGAGACTTACATCTTCATGTTTTTTTTGTCTATTTGTCTGTTATTGCTAATCTCTGAAACGGCTCGACCTGGATTTTGACGGGATTTTCACTCTTAGAGAGAATAGAATAGAGTAGAAAATCATTTATTCAAATAAACTTAAATTGAAGCACTTTTGAATAATCATCACATTTTTTTTAATCTACCGCTCATTCAGAAAGCTCTCTCATCTCAAGAAGCACGAGCAAGAAACTTGTGTGTTGCTCTTTTAAATAATTTTATTCTTACTTTACAATTTAAGTTTAAGTGTGTGAATACAAACTACCGATTAGCACTAATTCAATTAAATAATCAAATAGAAAAAATATTAAATAGCTAAGTTTGTAATGAGTAACGTAGGTAAATTTTATTTTAGAATATTTAATTATATTAATCAACTATAAGTTGTAGTCCACGTGCAAGAAATGGCGGGGATGGCCAGTTTTTTTTTATAATTCTTAGATATATTATGAAAAAGAGAATAATCTGTCATCAGATCAGCGTCATCAGACCGGTCCCGGGAGCGAGCTGTACCATCAGATGATGAGACGAGCACACAGGAAGACGAAGCACGGAAACCTTCCGATAGCTTCCTCGTATGCGTCCATAATGTCTCCCACGAAATACCCTACGCTATACTTAAGGTGAGCCTGAAACGCGCTATCATTAATTTTTCTTAATTTAGTATATATATGATGCACCAATCTTCACATCAGCGTCTCGACGCTACTTCGACTCTGCCCAATCCCACCCTAACCCGCTTGTAGTCAGTGCGGTCAACTACGCACCGAGGAGTAATATCCGATATACACGACAACGTCGCCCGAGGCACGTTCTCATTGACCCCGACGATCCTATAACGGCAGGAAACCTCCCCACGGGGCCAACCCATTCCACCCCGACCTCACTTTTACACACACACACGACACCGTCCTCGCCGGCGAAGATGACGACCTCTCAAACACAACAATATCGCGCATTCAACTGGGCGCATGCGGGCGCTCGGGCGCTCCGGTCGATTCCCCGTCCAATTCAAACGGGGATCGAAATTACGACGGCCTGAGCCGAGGTTCGAACCCCGTAGTGGTGCCCTATGTCGTATCCGTCAGGCAAGGAGGTTGGCCTTCAGCCGCTCCATAAGCCCTTCCTTTGGTTTGGAATGCCAAGTGCACTCGCCTCTAACGTCCGGTGAAGCTGTAAAGGCCAGTTGCGCCAAAAGATTTCGAGTAGTCCGAAAAAAAAATTCACACGTTATGGGTCAGTGCAGGGGTGACAAAGAAATTGACTCTCTGACATGTGAATATTTCATATAAAGAAATAAAGAAAAGAAAAGAAGGGGAAAATGGGGTTATAAAAATTCACATTCAATAATTATTATAAATGCTAAAGTATGTAAATATGGATGTTTGTTGCTCTTTCACTCAAAAACAACTGAGCGGATTTTGATGAATCGTTACAGTAATATAGCTTATACATCAGAATAACACATAGGCTATGTTTTATATTGAATTTATACACAGCTAGTGTAACATAAACTAATACATAATTACAGGTGCCACTGAGTGCGACAGCATCCTACGTTGTGTACCAAGCACTCACAAAGGCTCGGTGTCACGATGACCCTAAAAGGTAAGAGGAATTAATAGAAAAAGAAAGAAAGAGAAGGGTGCTAATGCCATACCTTCAAAATTAGACAATCCTATATAGCAATGACGGCCTCGGTGATCTAGCGGTTTAGCACATCGCTTTACTTCCCACGGTCGCGGGTTCGATGCCTCGCGCGGTACAAATATTTGTATTCATGATTGTTTGTATCGGCCTGGGTGTTTTCTATGTATTTATGAAAAAATATATATCTATGTAATCATATAATTGTCCCATGTACATTTGACAAAGTGTAATCATTTGTAAAAATGTTATTTTGTAAGTAGTATTACTATACATAATAATCGCAGTGTACAACACATTAGTAAGGAGCCATCTTGAGTGCAACGCTGCAATCTGGGATCCATATGAAATAAAATTGTACCGTATTTAAATATTTAAATAAATAAAATACTAAATTGTGGCGCTTCACATTAAATAGGCTGTTCCCGCCATTTATACATACAGGCTCTGTCAACTGCACAGAGTACGTTATGAACAATATTCATTATGCCAAAGACTATATATACCACAAAAATATAGACTAATGTTGGAAAAAATTCAAAATAAATTTATTAGGTATATATATATATATATATGAGGCAATATGGAGTATATCCCTTGTATCCTTTGATGTATCCCACTCTGTTCGTATTGGGCATGGTGGGATATAATGAATTACGAGTACGCAGGAATTGGCTATTGTCTTCTACATATTTAAAGTGTTTCGGGATCAAATCACCAATTCTCTGGTTCTTGGTTTGATAAGTGGTACCAGATAATTACCTGGGGCGGCGACGAAGGCCCCAGCTATTAGCGGTACCTCGCGGCAGAATTAATTGATTAAACAAGGCGTCCATGACACACGCACTGGCCACTCTCAATAAAATAGCAGAAACAACGGATTTGTTTGTGTGTAGTCTGTGTGAATTCACAAAAACAACATTGTATATTATATGTTATATTAACGAACATGTATAATATAGAATTAGATACACTATTGTATTAGGCCTGTAATAATAGTTGTGTAAGTATATAAATAAATAAATAAATTTTTCAGGTTCGTTCTAGTCGAGGAGTTGGAGTGGGGCGGACGGGCTGGTACCGGTCCTCAACAGAGAGCATTGGCTGATGATGAAGTGGTCTACGGCGCTCAGGTCAGTGTCTAGCATCTTGCAACCAAATTTAGCAGTTTGTATTCAAACAAAATTTTTAAATATATCATTTATAACTAGCTGACCCTGCGAACTTCGTTCGGATTCCTTCAGAATGAAATAATATGTCAAAGAATAGAATAGAAAATCATTTATTCAAATAAACTTAATTTAAGCACTTTTGAACAGTCATAACAATTTGTTTTTTATCTACCACTCGTTCGGAAAGCTGTCTCATCACAAGAAGAACGAGCAAGAAACTTGTGTGTTGCTCTCTTAAATAATCCTTGTAAGTTTACATTTACAAGTCGAAACGTGTGAATACAAACTACCAACAAGCACTAATTTTTGGGTCAAATATAAATATGCATAAGGTTTTTTGAAGTTTAGTTACGCAATAAATTTCTGAACACGTCGTTAGAACAGTTTGTATGGGAAAATAAAATTGTTAGTTTTTACTATTTTACATGCAATTTCTTTATACTCGTATTTTATCACCGTTTAAACCTTCCCTGGAGTTCCACAAATATTACAACACTAAAGTTAGGCAAATCGGTTCAGCCGTTCTCGAGTTTTAGCGAGACTAACGAACAGCAATTCATTTTTATACATATAGATTATGAAGTAAGAAAAGAAATATTAATTCATATAATTGTTTCAGCAGCATTTTTATTATTATATAGATAACAATATGCATATTTGTAGCAAGAAAATTGCTGCGTCCGTGTACTCCTGAGGTTTTTTCGGACTACTCTACTGCTGTTGTCCGCAGCTGGCCTTTACAGCTTCACCGGACGATAGGGGGCGAGTGCAGATGGCACTTCAAATCAAAGGAAGGACTTATGGAGAGACTGAAGGCCTACTCCTACCTGGATACGACTTTAGTCTGAGGGCACCTCTAGGGGTTCGAACCTCAGCTCAGGCAGTCATCATTTCTGTCCCCGTTTGAATTGGACGGGGGATCCAGCTCTTGAGATCAAATTCCAGGTTGTAACAACATCAATATAATAAGAAATTCATTGATTTCTTTGCAGGCATGTTGGAAGACCCTCGGAAGGTTTGTGCTTCAGGAGAAAGGCAGTACAGCACCGATACCCAGACATAGGGCTGCGATAGCGAGGATACAACGTGGGCTCAGCATGACGAGAGGTGCTATTACAGGTTCGTATCAATAGTCATCAAAGAAATAAAGACACGTAGCATCATCATCATCATCGTCATATCACCTAGTATCATCATCATATCTACGCATATCATCATATCACCTAGTATCATCATTATACATCATCCTCATCATCGTCGTATCACCTAGTATCATCATCATATCTACGCATATCACCGAGTATCACCATCATATAGACACATATCATCAGAATTTTATCGATGATGATGATACTTGTTTATATTTCTGTTCAAGCAATATGATCAATTTCCGATTATTGAGCCTATTAGTCCTAAGCGCGGGACTAGATGGCGCTGTGTGAATTGTCCAAGGTTATGTTATAATAATTATTACCCACAGGATTGACGACCTCGGTGGTCTAGTGGTCTAGCACACCGCTTTACGACCGATGGTCGCGGGTTCGATTCCTCGCACAGCACAAACATTTGTATTCATGAGTATGATTGTTTGTATCAGTCTGGGTATTTTCTATGTATAATATGTATGTATTTACGAAAAAAAATATCTATGTATTTGTATCAGTTATCTAGGACCCATAACACAAGCTTTAGGTAGCTTAACTCGGGTCTAGATGGTATTAGAGAAACAAGACATGCAGTGTAAAACATAAAATTGTATTCAGTTCAAACAACCGTTACTAAGTAACTGACATTTATATATTTTTCGGTATATTAGATTATAAACCTCAATACCACCCCTTAATCTTATATACGAACATATACAATTATTTGGACAACCCTAAGTCCTTAACAAATTTCTCATGTTTAAATATACACAGAGGTTTAGTTAAAATATCTGCAATCATTTGATCCGTTGGCAAGAAATTAATTTTTATATGACCATTGCCTACCGCCTCCCGGACGAAATGATGACGCATGTCTATATGCTTAGTCCTAGCATGGAACATACTATTTTCAGTTAGTTTTATTGTAGACTGATTATCATTAAATATAATTATATTATTAATTTGACTTGATATTAAACATTCATTGAGAAAAGTTTTAATGAACATTGCCTCTTTACAAGCATCTGAGACTGACATATACTCCGCCTCGGTACTAGATAAAGCGACAGTCCGCTGTTTTCTACTTTCCCAACAAGTAATAGATTCCCCAATTTTGAAAACATAGCCTGTATACGACCTACGATCTATATGATTTGATCCCCAGTCTGCATCCGCAAATCCTGTCACAGTCAAACCAGTTTTTCTATAAGTAATACAGTAATCTATTGTACCCTTGAGATAGCGTAATACGCGCTTAGCTGCTCTCCAGTGTATCTCAGAAAAACAGTTATTAAATTGACTTAATACACTTACTGCGTGACAAATATCGGGACGCGAACATACAGCTATATACATAAGACAGCCAATTAACTCACGATACTCCAAGTTGTCATCCTTCTTTTCTGACTTAAGTAGTTTCTCACATTGCATTGGAGTTTTCGCTGGCTTACAGTTCTGCATATTAAATTTTTCTAAAATCTTTTCTATATACGCACTTTGATTTAATGTAATCGTGCCATTCACTTTCTTTATTCTTAATCCTAATACTTTTTCTACTGGACCAAGATCTTTCATGACGAATTCTTTCATTATCATACTTTTAGTTTTATTTTTCTCTTCTTTACAGTTACTCATAAGTATCACATCATCTACATATAGAGCAATTATCACCAGCTTATCATCATTTTTCTTTACATAAACACATGGCTCGGAAAATAATCTCTTGAACTTTAATTTATTTACTAGAACATTGTTTATTTTCTCATTCCATGATTTTGGTGCTTGCTTTAATCCATATACAGCCTTTCGTAGACGATATACTTTATTTTCACCTTTATCTTCATCAAAACCTTCTGGTATTTCCATGTATATAGTTTCTTTCAAATCACCATTTAAAAATGCAGTTTTTACATCCATGTGCTCAATATCCATATCGTATTCTGCAGATAGAGCTAACAGCATTCTTAATGTTTCATATCTCACGACTGGTGAATATGTTTCAAAGTAGTCTACTCCGTACTTCTGTGTAAACCCTTTTGCAACCAATCGTGCTTTATACTGTATTATCTCACCATTCAAACCTCTTTTCTTCTTGAAAATCCACTTAGTTTTTATTGGTTTCACTCCTTTCGGTAAATCAGTTACAGTAAAGCATTGGTTGTCAATAAAGGATTGATACTCATCATTCATTGCAATACGCCATTGCTCTGCTTCAGAACTGCTTAATGCTTCCTTAACAGTTTTAGGCTCAACCGCTTCATAGGATTCTCCAAGTAAAAATGCAGAGAGAAATGAGTTGTCAGCTTGACTAGCTCTAGAATCATCAGATTCAAAGGACATATCAGGTACATAGGTTTCATCTAATGAACGGTCTTCGACGGATTCACTAGTTGAAGGTTCACTAGTTTCATTACTTTCAGAAGTATCAGAAATTTGCTCTACATTGTTATCATTATTCGAAATATCAAAGGATATTGATGGAGAAACAGGATTCATGTTCAAATTTGATGAAGTTACATTTAAATCCTTGAGAAACTTATTTTCTAAAAATGTTACATTTCTAGAAACAGTCAGCTTTTGACATATAGGATCCACAAGCCTATACCCCTTAGTGTTCTCACAATAGCCAACAAAAATGTACTTTTTGCATTTCGGATCAAGTTTCTTTCTATTATTTTGTACTGAGTATGCTACACATCCAAAGACTCTTAAGTTAGACAGATTTACCTTTTGTCCAGAGTAACGTTCTTCTGGAGTAAAACCTCTGACGGCCTTTGTAGGAGAACGATTTTTGACATACACAGCAGTACATACTGCTTCAGCCCAGAATTTTTGTTCAAGACCGGCTTCGAGTAACATACAGCGCACCGCCTCCATAATAGTTCGGTTCGCGCGTTCTGCGACTCCATTCTGCTGTGGACAGTGAGGGACTGTAGTTTGGTGTTTAATACCACACTCACTCAAATATCGTTTAAATCGAGTATTCATGTACTCGCCTCCATTATCGCTTCTCAATATTTTAATCTTTTTATTTGTTTCATTTTCTACCTCAGCTTTAAATTTCATAAAACACTCAAAAACTTTGTCTTTAGAATCAATACAAAAACAAAAAGTTTTTCTAGAAAAGTCATCAATAAAAGTTAATAAATATTTTGCACCACCAAAAGAGTTCACCTGCATAGGACCACATAGATCCGTGTGTACTAAACCCAACACAACATTAGCTCGTGTAAACGATTTCTTAGGAAAAGGTAGTTTAGTAGCCTTACCTTCTATACAGGAGATGCATTGTTCATATGACGTTACATTATAGTCAATGCCAGTTGCCATACCATTCTTGAGTAAACTCATGCTGCGACTATTTAAATGTCCCAAACGTCGATGCCAGATACCATGACTTGCTTGGTTTACGTGAGATTGAACTTCATTTTTATTATTTGAAGATTTACTCACAGACATGACTGTACTTTTTACGCGATCAACGGAATTTACAAATGCAGACCCAGTTTGTAATTTATATAAACCAGAATTACCCCGCTTTGCAATCGCTGCTAATATATTATTTTTATATATTTTACATAAATCAAATTCAAAAATTACACGATATTTTCGCTGTGTCAAAACATTGACAGACATTAAATTACATGACAAGTTAGGAATATAAAACACATCACATAGAGTTTTTATACCATCCTTAACTAAAATATCTGTATCACCTCGACCGACACTATTTATTTTATCTCCGTTCGCTACTGTCACATATAAACTATTGTCCTCGACGTAATTTTTCAAAATTTGCCGATTGTTGCACATGTGACAAGACGCACCAGAATCGACATACCAACCCTCAAACTTCACATCTGCTGATAGGACCGACAGCATTATTGCACTCTTGGCTGCACCAGAGCTGCTGCTCGACTTTGGTTGCTTATCTTTACTTGATATTTTCTTACGGCAGTCCTTGGCATAGTGACCAACCTTCTTACATTTGTAGCATATAGGACGTTTTGAAATTGCCAGAACTTTCTCCTCAGGGCACTCGGAGCTTGTTGTACCATCTCGTCTCTGTGATTCTTGTAGTAATTTATTTTTAACGAGATCACTAGACAGATTTAAGTTTGCATTTTCTAGTGTCATTATGAGTGGGTCGAAATCCTTCGGGAGTCCACTAAGCATTATGACTGCGACAAAATCATCATCGAGAGGAGCATTCATGTCTTGGAGTTGTTGAGCGATATCCATAATTTTTGTGAGATATCCGTCCATATCCTGAAATTGTTCAAGTTTCAAAGAGAATAATATTCTAAGAAGACCTAACCTTCTACAGAGACCCTTGTCTTCAAATGCACGTTGCAGATTTCTCCACGCTTCAAATGCTGTTTCACAGTTTCTAACATTTGAATAGACGCTAGGAAGTACGCTTAAGCATATCTTCGCTAATGCTTTTTCTTGCTTTTTCCTATCCATGCATTCGGGTTCTCCATTTTTAGTAGCAACAACGCAATCGTACAAATCTTCATGTATGAGTGTCATTTTCATCTGGAATTTCCAATTGCCGTAATTTGCCATTCCCGACAATTTATCCATAGTTAACGATGAAGAAGTCATTTTGAAGAGTATTTGCGTGTATGAATCGTAATTCGTTACCGCTCTGCTACCATATTAGAGAAACAAGATATGCAGTGTAAAACATAAAATTGTATTCTGTTTAAACAACCGTTACTAAGTAACTGACATTTATTTCTTTTTCGGTATATTAGATTATAAACCTCAATAGATGGCGCTGTGTGAATTGTCCTGAGATTATTATTATATTATTATTATTGCAGGCGGAGCTTTCCCTATGAGTAGCGGCGTGTCTGAGAATCCCATGACAGAAAGCAAGCCCCCTGTACAATCCGCCCACAGCGACCCTACGCACTGCAGGTAATAACACACACACCCATACATTCACGCACACACACACACATACACACACAAACACATATTACTAAGATATTCTTAGTTAATATATTTATATTATTTTGTACTAGCTGTGCCCCCGGTTTCACTCGCATTAAATTGTAACCTATATGTTATTTTCCATGCAAACGCGTATTACTAAGATATTCTTATTGTCCCTCCGATCGATCCCCCATCCAATTCAAACGGGGATCGATATGAAACGGCCTGAGCCGAGGTTCGAAGCCCTAGCGGTGTCCTCAGACTAAAGTCGTATCCATCAGGCGGGAGTTGACTTTCAGCCGCTCCATAAGTCCTTCCGCGGGTTTGGAGTGCCATCTGCACTCGCCCCCTATCGTCCGGTGAAGCTGTAAAGGCCAGCTACGGCCAACAGCATTAGAGTAGACCGAAAAAAAAATTCTTAATATATTTATATTATTTTGTACTAGCTGTGCCCAAGATTTCATCCGCATTAAATTTATAGCCTACATCTTATTCTCATGTATAAACTATATTATATATGTAAAGTTTCAGCAAAATCCGTTCGGTAGATTTTGCGTGAAAGAGCAACAAACATCCATACTCACTTAGGGAAATTACTATATGTATGAAACGTCTGTCTCGTACCTGCAATCTGCGGATTTCTTTGACCCTTAACACATTCAGGTCTCGAAGATTTTATCACCAGTTTTCCAGTTTCCCAGTAGGTTCCACACAGTTTCAATTTATTTTATTTCTGAAATATTGCGCGTGCGTCGTGGCCGCCGTACGGTCAGTTCTGTCACAGGTGTAGGGGGAGAGAGGGTGGGGGGGGGGGGGGGGGGGGGGGGGGGGGGGGGAAGCGCGGGAACAGAAACTAACGGACTCTAATATAATAATCTGTGCTTACGATGGTACAGGGTAGATTTTGAACAATAATATTAATAATAATAATAATAATAATAATAATAATAAAGAAAGTATCTCGACCTGGCTCACGAGGTGACAATGAAATGGGGGGGGTGATGTCCACCGAAATCACATCGTTATGTCGGTGAACGGTCTTATCCCAACCAGTCTGGAACAACATCTCAGACGGTTGGGATTCCGGGGCACACACGGGAAAGATGCAGAAAGCGGTGCACATTCTGCCCGCATTGTACGCCGGTTTCTCTTGGTTTCTGAACTCCGGCCGACTGTGCTTCTGCCGGGGGTATGTTGCCATCTCCTCTCCTTAAGAGGGGAGATGAGAATTTTTGGAAAAAAGAAAAAAATAATAATAATCTCAGGACAATTCTCACAGCGCCATCTAGACCCAAGTTAAGCTAGCTAAAGCTTGTGTTATGGGTCCTAGACAACTGATACAAATACATAGATATATTTTTTTTTCGTAAATACATACATATTATACATAGAAAATACCCAGACCGATACAAACAATCATACTCATGAATACAAATGTTTGTGCCGTGCGAGGAATCGAACCCGCGACCATCGGTCGTAAAGCGGTATGCTAGACCGCTAGACCACCGAGGTCGTCATAAAATAAATAATTCCGCTACAATTAGAATGTGTGAGACCACAAGCATTCAGCGCGGAAACCGGAACACTGCTACCGGAAGAGGTACAGGCTTCACCACAATTGTCAATTCAAATCGAATTAAGAAGAAAGATAGAAGAAAGTGTTAATTATAAAAAGGGAATTACAAAAAAGAACCTAAGAATGTCGTTATTTTGTGACGACCGTGATACCACTCATGTTACCATTCCAGAGTACTAAGATGTCACGCCTCTTATCCTGTAATTTCACTGTCTAATCTGCACCCTACAACCGAAACAGCTTACAAAGCAAGCTGCTTGGCTGAAATAGGTGAGACTGAGGTACACGCGCGGACGTGTTTGTACAGTCTACCCTGGTAGACATGTTTTATTCTATTCTATTCCACTGAATACCACCGAACTCCTCTCAACTACATTCAACTCCACGCAACTCCACCAATTTCTACTCAACTCCACCCGATTCCACTCAACTCCACCCGACTCCACTCAACTCCATCCGACTCCACTCAACTCCACCCGACTCCACTCAACTCCACCCGACTCCACTCAACTCCACCCAATTACACTCAGCTCCACCCGACTCCACCAAACTCCACTCTACTCCATTTTTCTCTATTCTATTATATTGTCAACAGGAGAGTATCGACAACACCGTTGGGGAAAGGTATCGGCCGAGCAAAAGGACACTCCGACAAGGATATGAGGTCTTTTATGCAGAGGCGGGCGGCATCCAGAGAGGTGAGTTATTGTAGGTCTTTTTTAATTGATAGTTGCGATATGAATCCCACTTAATAATAAGTAAGTGGTGGAAAATCCTTATCACTTAAGGGTTTAAAAAATAGAAAACACTCAGGGGCGCACTTATCATTTAAGGGTATGAAAAATAGATAGTAGGCGATTCTCAGACCTACTGAATATGCATATAAAATTTCATAAAAATCTGTCATGCCGTTTGGTGGAATATGGTAAGTAACATTGTGATACGAGAAATTCATTATAAAACAAAGTCGCTGTCACTGTCTGTCCCTAATAGTCCCTATGTATGCTTAAATCTTTAAAAACGGATTTTGTAGCGGTATCTTTTTAATACGAGTATATAGAGTGATTCAGGAGAAAGGTTTATATATATAATGCATGTACACCCGGGCGAAGCCGGGGCGAGTAGTTAGTTATATATATGACCTATCCATCTAAATATATATAACTCAAAGGTGACTGACATAGTGATCTATCAACGCATAGCCCAAACCACTGAACGAATCGGGCTGAAATTTGGCATGCAGGTAGATGTTATGACATAGGCATCCGCTAAGAAAGATTTTGATCAATTCTACCCCCAAGGGAATAAAATAGGGGATGAAAGTTTGTATGAAACTTTGTCAGTTTTGCATGCGTAAAGATTTTGATTTTTAGACTTTGCATGCATAACAAATGACGTAAATATTTTCTAAGAAAGAATTTTCATAAATTCCACCTCTAAGAGGATAAATTAACGCAAGCGAAGCCGCAGGCAAAGTCTAGTAATATATAAAGCTGCATTACGGTGACTGACTCACTGATTGACATAGTTGTTCTACCAGAACGAGTGGGGTCGGGACGATGTGTAGGGGAAATATTCCTTTGACTAGGTGACCACGAGAAAATTCCGAAAATTGGGAAAATCCGAAAGTGTGAGCAAAGATGGCGGCTAACTTTGACAGTTTTGCTCGGATCGATTCCGTTCAAAGAGTGATTTGGGACCTCTCAACGGGACCCAGAATATGACGTAAAATAAAAAAAAATAAATCCAAGTTGGCGGCGAGAAAATTATCAAAAACTGATTGAAAATTTTCTAGGGTTTTAAAAACCGAAATTCCCATTGTTATATATACTGGCGATTTCGGTTTTGGGGCATAGGAAAGTCGAAGGACCCGGCCTCTAGGGAAAATTATGAAATTTGGAAAATACAAGATGACCGCACATTTGTGTGTCACGGACTCACAGTCTCACTCTCAATCTCACTCTAAATCTCACTCTCAATCTCACTCTCAATCTCACACTTACACTAACACTGACACTGGCACTGAATCTGACACTGACACGGCTCGAACACTGTCTCGGACACGGACACGGACACTGACACTGGACACGTACTGACACTGACACTCACACTTACACTTACTCTGACACTGAATCTGACACTGACACGAACTCGTACACTGTCTCGGACACGGACACGGACATTGACACTGGACACGTACGTAATTCCATCGGACTTTGACACTGGAGACAGACTCGGCCACTGATACTGACGCTGACACTGTTACTCACTCTCAATCTCACTCACAGTCTCACTCTCAATCTCACTCGCAGTCTCACTCTCAATCCCACTCTCAATCTCACTCTCTTTCTACTCTCAATCTCACGCTCAATCTCACTCTCAATCTCACTGATTGACAACGACAATCTCAAATTCCATCGGACTTTGACACTGGAGACAGACTCGGCCACTGATACTGACGCTGACACTGTTACGCACTCTCAATCTCACTCACAGTCTCACTCTCAATCCCACTCTCAATCTCACTCTCATTCTCACTCTCAATCTCACGCTCAATCTCACGCTCAATCTCACTCTCAATCTCACTCTCTATCTCATTTACAATCTCACTCTCAATCTCACTGATTGACAACGACAATCTCAAATTCCATCGGACTTTGACACTGGAGACAGACTCGGCCACTGATACTGACACTGACACTGTTACTCACTCTCGGTCTCACTCACAGCATTACTCTCAGTGTCAATCACAGTCTCACTCTCAATCTCACTCTCTATCTCATTTACAATCTCACTCTCAATCTCACTGATTGACAACGACAATCTCAAATTCCATCGGACTTTGACACTGGACACAGACTCGGACACTGACAATGACAATGACACTCATACAGACACGGACTCGGACGCTGACACTGACACGGACCCGGACCTTGACACTGACACTGACAATCAGCAACACAGACCCGCAAGCCTCGTGAGGGCCCGCGCATACACGCGACATCTAGTTATAATTATAAAATTGTTTAATAAATTAATTATATAAGTAATATACATATATATTTCTATGTCCAGGTACATTCAGAAGGCGAGACGGTGGGCGGATCTTTGGGTGCGGAAGCTCTTGCAGCTCAAGTGGCGAGGTTTAAGCGCGTCTCGTTGAGGAAACTGCGGGCGTGGAGATCCTGAGTGTGGCGGGTAATATTATTATTGCTAGCTGTTCCCGCGAATTCGTCTGCGTGGAATTTAACTTTATTTTTCTAAAATAAAACTCGTCAAATTGTTTATGGTACGCCCGAATTATAACTAATTCAAATTATTTACACAGTCGTTACGTGTAATTTGAGAGGTTATAAATTTCATTGTGTGCTGTATGCGGAATAATAATAACGGACTGTGTAACTAGCGATCCGTCCCGGCTTCGCGCGGTTGTTTTACAAATCTTTGAATTTCTCGGCTTGTTCTATACTATAACACGCATTTATTGTACACTAGTTGTTCCCGCGAATTCGTCTGCGTGGAATTTAACTTTATTTTTCTAAAATAAAAGTAGCCTAAGTTACTCTTTATTACATTAGCTACCTGCCACAAAAAGTCCCGTCAAAATCAGTCCAGCCATTTCAGAGATTAGCCGGAACAAACAGACAGACAGAAAAATAAATTGTAAAAAATGTTATTTTGGTGCATGTAGTAAAATACGGTTATTTCAATATTACAAACAGACACTACAATTTTAATTATATGTATGTATTACAAATATACATTTTTTTTTATTTATATGATTGTTTCGGTTGTAGAGTGTAGATTAGTCAGTGAAATTACAGGATAAGAGGCGTGACATCTTAGTACTCTGGAATGGCAACCTCTGGAATGTAAATAGGCGACCGTCACCACTTACCATCAGGTGGACGGTAGCAAAGAAGCGAAATTACATTAAAAGTACCAGGAGAACATGAATTTATAGACAATTTGTTGTGAGATAAGTATGGCCAGTGAAATGAGTGTATGGAGACCGGACCGTGTAGACCTCCAGACTGGCGATGTATTAAGGATACTAGGAGCTTCAGATGGTGACGTACTGTCCGTAATGCTATTCATGTATATAAGCGAAGGTTACCACTTACCATCCATCAAGCGGTCACTCAGCTTGTTTACCATTACAATGACAAAAAAAAATTTAAAGTAGTAAGGAAACGAAACTAAAGGTACCAGGAGAACATGAATTTACAGGCAGTTTGTTGAGAGGCATGGCCTGTGAAAATACAGTGTATTTTGTATTAAGGATTCTACGGGCGTTACATGATGACGTAATGTCTGTAGTACTGTTCATGTATATAGGCGACGGTTACCACTTACCATCAAATGGACTGTCAGATTGTTTGTCATTACAATTATATAAGAAATCAGTCTACAAAAAAAGAATAAAATGCTTATGATTTCACGTATTATATGTAGATTGTTAAGTATACCAATTACATACAAAATGAAGCCTAAAAAAATACTTATGATTTTATTGGCTATGGTTTCCAGGTGTTCCGCCATGTTTGTTTTTCCAATTACCTATAAAAGTTTAAAAATAAAATAAATCGTTTATGATTTTGTGGCTTGTGGTTTCCAGGTGTTTCGCCGGCTCGGCACCAGGTTAGCCAACCACCGAGCCTCCCTCTCATCCGAGCTCGGTTCCCTCTGGGACTTCATCCGCATAGATCGCGACAGACGGAGGTCAGCTCCAGCTGGTACCTCCTACGAACCTATACACACAGACACCAAATCCCCAGTAAGGTTAGCCAGGGATCTCCTCCAAGTAGTCCAGGATACAGTCTTCGCGCGAAGATTTGACGAAACTCCAAAGAGATGTCCATTAGTAAAAGAAGAATCCGATTTGACCAGTTCAGAAGAGGAAGAAGGTAATGACAGAAGAATAGCCAATCTAATCGATTTCTTCTTCACTATAGTCAAAAGTCAGAAGGAAGAAAGGAAAGGTAGCAGCGGCAGTTGCTTCAAAAGTGAAGTTAGTCCGACCGATAATAAAATTGAAACGTACATACCAGCAAAAGTTAATACAGAATTAGAACAGAAAATGGAAACTCTGATAGAGTTCTTAGCGTCAAGTGGCTGTATGGATAGAGAAGAAGAAATGTCAACAAGAGAAGATAAGAAGATAACATTAATGGAATTTCTATTCGGACCAGAGGATAGGAAATGGCCTGATAAACCTGTGATTGAAATAAATACAGAACCGGAATTAAATAAAGGAATCAGTTTGTCTGAATCGAATATAAATGTTAAAGATATCTCATATATAGACGAAACTCCGAATGAGGAAAAGAATGAAACATTAGTAGAAATGTTGATTAAATACATGGAACATTATGGTAGTAAAGAAAAATTTAAAGAGCCATCAAAATCAATTTCAGTTACACCGTCATTGTCAGAGAAATCTAAATCAGACGTTACAATTAGTAAATTAGAGACGTTTAGTGATATTAGTAAAACAAAATCGGATTCCACACTAACACAAACGCAAGATACAGTAATCGATTTGCGATCGGAAAGATCTCCTGGCAGTAGACGAATTTCAGAAACAGTTATAGATCTAAGTAATGTAAAACAAGATTTAGAAGGTATATTTGAAGAAGCTATTATAAGAATATATGGTACTTATAATATTCTAAATGAAGATGATATAATGACTGAACAGGAAGACATAGAGAATTTCAATTCGTATACTAAACCACCGATACTTCAATATATACAATACCTACCTTATAGCGTTGAATTGTCTGATATCATAGAAGAGGATGAACCATCCTCAAGAGGTCTAGATAGAAAATTATCTGAAGAAGATCGCATGTATTACATTAAACAAGCAGCCGAAGATTTAGTCGACTACATTGAAGATAAAATACAAGAGCAATTTGAAGAAGAAACCGATTCAGAATACGAATTCGACCTAAGTCTTAGCTTAAAAAGATCATCCATAAGTTTAATAGACTTACGATGTATCCCTGATCTACCGCCAAGTATGATAATAAAACCGATAGTTAAGAAAATCGATAGATCGACATCAACAACGGAAATTTCCGATTCGATATCCGATTTGTCCAGGCGAATCGATTCTGCATCAATGACGGAGGAGACACTGCTAACGCCCAGTTCGGAATTAACGGAGAGAGCTTTGGATAAAATCGAATCGCTACAAAGATTCTTCTCGAAATCTCGTTTGGAAATCATCGATGAAAGCCTGGAAGAGAATGGCGATAGGAGAAGTCCTAAACAGATGTATATGAATGTGGAGATTAGTAAAAGCGATCAAGATTATAGGGCAGGTCAGGCTAGCCTGGACGACGTTGAAGATATACAATATGATAATGATAGGAATGATAACGTAAATGGGAAAAATAATGATTTAGATAAGTGTGAAGTTGATACAAATGATAATGATGTACAAGATGATAAATAAGTCAATAGAAGAAAACAATACGATGATGATAAACATTGTAACGTAAACAATGAAACAAATGATATTTATAAATATGAAGTTTGCATGAATGATAATGATGTACAAGATGATAAATAAGTAAATGGAACAAAACAATACGATGATGATAAACATTATAACGTAAACAATGAAACAAATGATATTTATAAATATGAAGTTTGGATGAATAATAATGATGTACAAGATAATAAATAAGTCAATGGAAGAAAACAATACGATGATGATAAACATCATAACGTAAACAATGAAACAAATGATATTTATAAATATGAAGTTGACACGAATGATAATGGTTTACGAGATGATTAAGAAATAATAGATATTTCTATTGTAGCCATCTTGAATCTAAGATTTGAAGAGTTCTCTGTAACAGACAGTAATGTTACTTAAGAAAAATTAACTCAGAACGATGGTGGAGGTTTTTATATAATTATAAATACTAGAAGAATTATTTCCTCTGAAAGAAGAAAGGAGTAACAACTGAATTTAGAATATCAAGAACTATACGAGACGCTTTAATTATCGACACTGAAAAAAAAATATTAGCTTTTGTGAGAAATTCTTTTTCCAATTTGTCCTTTCGGACAGGCTACGGGCCTAAGCCAAACTGCTTTGTTTAATATTAGCGCATAGAATAAAAATATAAAAAAGTGTATTAATGTCTGTATGCATCAAATCATTGGTAAGCATTCAATTGTATTTTTTGTAATTTATAATGACACAAAAATAGTTTATACTATTTATAGTTTCATTTTTTATTTTAAAACACATAAATATAGCCTATAAGTCTACAGATAATATTTTTTTCAATGTCGATAAACAAAAAACATTTTAGAATTTCGATTCTTTATACTATACCTATATCGGTCACTTTTAGTGACGCGAGAACTAATAGTGAGATTTTTAATATTAAATATATTTAGTGATAATTTAGTAACGTATTGTCATCTCCAAATACTAAGCAAGTAATCACTACGTGTTTATCTACAAGTATTCATAGACAATTTATGAAAAAATGTACAAAAATGGCGCCAAAACTTTTGACATATCATATTCACATTCATTATTCTGTCGGTTAAGGTTTAATCAAATAAAAATACAATTAGCTCATAATATATATCTTATTTATTACAAAAATTAGCGTATGGATATAAAACAAATCTTTGAAATTCTCTGCTTGTTCACTTGTTCACTATAACATGCATGTATAATATACCCTTCTATTTTATGTATAACTAACGAACTGTCAAGGCTTCGCACGGATACATTACAAATCTTTGTTCTTATATTACGCATGTATCTATTACTGAAATCACACTATCCATTGCTGAAAACTGCATTAAAATCCGTTGCGTAATCTAAAATATATAAGCGTACAGAAAGCGGTGGCGACTTTGTTTTATACTATATAAAAATCCCACTTAATAGAAATGTTAAACTGGCAATAAATTACTACTATTTAATAGTTTTGTCCCTTTTTACTAAGAATTGTTGATTTGTTAGAAAATGACAGAAGATAAAATGTTTTTATATGAAAAAATAAGAATAGCAATGTATTTTTTTCACATTTACAGAGAACCTTCTGGATATGTTACCAAATAAACACTTATTCTGTAACAGATTATTTCAGATTGTTTTTATACAGATTTTAAATATAGGCTCAGAGCAATTATTTAATAGGTTTTATAAGAATTATGAGAAGTGAACCAAAATTTAATATATCATAACGTGAAGTGCAATAGCATATGCTGGTGGTCATTCTCCCAAATTAGAGATTAAACACGAATCTGTATTTTTGTAATCATGTATAACTTTAATTGAAAAGAATACCAGCTAAGTTTGTTGTCAGTTCTCATCTCGACAGCACTCCGAACTGACGGTTGATATGACATATCATAAGTCTGTAATAGACCTACGTGAATAATTTGATTTCATACCAAGATTCTTTTATTTTACATCACTTAAAATGCAGAAAGTATACTGGCAGACTTATTGTCAAGTACCTTTCGCGGGAATTAAAAGAAAACCAGTATTAACTGGACCTCTATTTCGTATCTACTGATGTTATAACCAATCCTCAATAGCAATATATTAAATTTGATGGATTTGCAATTGATGAGCCATGTTTCGTTGTTGCAACTGTAGCTACAAAATTGTAGATTTTAATTCCTTATATATTAGAACTATTAGTATAGTTTTTACATAATTAAAATCATAGTATATATTGCATATGAAATCACAACAAAAAATTATGATTATAAATTCACTTATTTGTTATCTAAGTTTTTTTTATATCTAATAGTATATTGGATATCTCTACAATATCGGCTTGTTAGCTACAGCTCCACGTCTTAACTCCGCGGCGTCCATACGCGGAATAATGCGACTCACAATCTGCGTGCTCTACAGAACTACAGTTTAATGAACTCTCTATTCATAATATTACATATACACTATAATGATAACTCTAAAATTAAATAATAAGTACATTTTTTAAATATTAAATTGGAGATGACATTACAAAATATGTTGGTAATGCTCGATGGAACGCTTGCCTTCTAAAATCTACAAATTAATTAAGAATGGCCGCCATATTGAAAAAAATAGGTCGCTTATATAGGCAAAAGGCGCCTACCAGACATACTAAGCAAGTAATCACTACGTTATAAGATTATGCGCTATCCCACAACCCCCGAACCAAATTGTGTGGGACCTTTCAATAGAATCTACTACTAATACTAATAGAATCGACTTTGTTGCTATTATATTAAAGTCTACTTTTAAATTTTGTGATAAGAAATTATATTCTACAGGTATAGTGTATGTCTTTTCAGTAACACTACGTAAATGTCAATTCTATATTTATTTTTTGACCACAATTTAAATTATTCCAAATATAAAATACAGACCTTGTAATTTCAAACAGTTACAAAAACGACAAAAAAAAATATTAAAAACATGACATGCGGCTAAAATATCCTACTATAATAAAAAAAATATATATATATTTTGAGGTTAGTCTCCATCGAGCATTTTCAACATGGCGCAGTACGTATATTTCTAGTAATTAAATTAATGTGTGTTAAAAAAATAATGGAATTATATATATCAAAAGTTGAATTTATATTAAAAAAAATATTATAAATAGATACAGAAATTTTATACTTATAAACGTAACTAAATATATGATAAGGTAA